GGAAAATTCGTATAACACCAAACGAAAGGCGATGAATGTAATTGTCATACTTTACCTTCTATCTTTATAAGGCATGTTCACACATGTGCTTAGTGCAATCGTTACACCCGTAGTATGTGTACCATAATTTTATTCCGATTTTCCTTATTTCAGTTCTATTACGAGTTCGGGGAATGTCTGTGTTAGCCAAGTGGATATACCCCTGTCTGTCGGTTTCAGTCTTTTTAAACAACTTGTAAAGTAGGCTAACAAAATCAATTTTCTTCATATTGCTACACTTCTGAAGCGCCGTGCAATCAGTAATTTATACAAAAAGCGCAATTTTTTTCAAGGGGGGAGGGGGGATTCAACTTATATATTACATTTTGGGTGAGGCGGGTAGTCGTCAATATGAACCCGATATGAACGGCGATTTCAACATTCTTTATTCTAATAATAAGCCACCGCGACCAACCTTTAAAGAAAATTTAATTCCCCCCACACCTTAATTGACCAATCACAAATCACGAAACAAGGTTGCCGTGCCAAATTGTTTTCAAAATTTGCAATTGTGACATGTGAAGTCACGTGGTAGCATCCGGACTCGGCGGGAGGAAACGTTCTTAATTTGTCAGACGCTGAGCAGACACGCTGTTATAAAATATGTAAAATCAACGTTAAATTTTTAATAAGCACGACACAGATACAGTGAATTTGAAGTATATTTTTCAGCATTCCTAACAGTGCAAAGGAAAGATTTATATGTCTGTTTTTCACAGTTTATATCAGGGAAGATATTTCATTGCAGATACAAAACAGAATTTTCTACCAGTCATGCCTGTACGGTTCTCATGTCATTTATTTTTGGCTGAGAAAAGAGATTCCTTTTGGAAGCATTTCAGACAGTCAATATTATGAGATCTCTGATTGCAGTGTATGAGTGCTAGGGGATTAAAGCCTAAATAGAAAGTTGAAGGGCTAAAGCATGTAAAGGCGTGAGTCAAGATAGTTGTTGGGCAAGTGTGTCATTTCTATCGGAATTAGCTCAATCATATTATATATACATATCAGTTCACGGTGACTCGTGAATCCACCTGGATCGCGTCTTGGGATTTAGACTTATAGCCAACACCGGACAGGAGTAGGGCTAAATAGATGAGTTTGTCGACTTACAACACAACTGAAGGATTAAGGTAGCTGTTAATCTAAATAGCTCCCAGTGGGGTGACCGTACATTTGAACCCATGTGTATATCCGCGGGTTCGATCTATATGCGGGTGCTAAAACCCATGGGTTAGGGTGAGTATGGGTTCAAATATCCGTAAAACAAAAATAAATTTCATAGGGCAAATAGTATACAGGTGCAATTGTCGTGGGTTCAAGTGTAATCGAACCATAAGCTGGGATTAATGTTATTGACCAAATGTATGTGCGACTCTAGTTCAATGAATGAAAAGCTTGCGAAGTCTGGGATTATTTTCCGTATCCAGCCTGCTGAGAATTTTGTTCCTTGGGAGGGAGTTTTGTCTAGTTGCAAGTGTTGCAAAGTGTAGCTTTTTCCCTCTGACCTACGCATACAGACCCGAGGTAATCATTTGTTGGGCGATTTCTGAAAGTTGCAAATCACTTGATACTTGCCAAGAGCTTTATTAGGTGAAAAAGGGTGAAATATCTCATGAAAATATAGATATATGCAATTGGATAATAATCAAGTGTTGAGAGACGTTATGACTAGCAAAGGCACCCTACCCAAATTCAGCATTTCGTATCTTAACTTGAGGGAACTATATTTCCGTGCGCTGTTTTTTCGCTTTTCACTTGAACAAAGCAAGTGAAGCAAGCAGTTATCGATTGGTAAGAAGCCCTGTAAATTAAAACGACTGGAATATTTCCGGTTTTGTAGCCAATCAATTTATCACACGCTGGATAAGGTGAGCGTGAAATTGAACTTGCAATTTCTTATCTACGACGCTTTAGGGCAGGGACGGGGGTGGGCAACATACGGCCCACTGACTGTATCCGACCACACTCTGTAATGTGGTCCGACGCATCATTCCTGAAAGTTGCCGATCGCTCTACTCTCACCGCACTGTCAGTGCGAGCTGGTGAAATAAACAATTGCCTCAGTGAACAAACAAATGCGTTAGCACATATGTTAAACAAACAATATAAGGTCAAAGTGCAGAGCGTTGTGAACATTTATGTAATAATCCGGCCCACCGAGAACTTCATTTTTCCACATCTGGCCCGCCGACCAGAGATGTTGCCCGGCCTGCTTTAGGCTAACGTTCGAATTCTGGATGCTTGTGGTGGGAATGGAATTTCACCGACATGGGTGGCGTGGAAAAAACTTTTGACATGCCGGTGCGACATATCGATGATAAATTAATTAATTTGGATTTGGACGTTTCGAATTTCTAATAAATAAAGCACAACCGGTGTTAGCAAAACGATGTAATTTGCTGACGTTTCGAATTTCTATACAGAAAAACTTACAGAAAAGACACAGTTGATATATATGGGGCGGAAAAAAAATTATCATGGCGTAAACTCTAATCTAAAAGGAGGAGGATAAAATAAAATTAGAATTTACGCCATGATATTTTTTTTATATTTTTTTCTTTTTCTTGCTCTATATATATCCACTTGTGTCCTTTCCATATCCTGCCCTGATTAAGTTTTTCTGCATAGAAATTCGAAACGTCGCCAAATTACATCGTTTTGCTAACATCGGTTGTGCTTTATTTATTATCAACAAGAGTTTACCTGGTGGCAATCATGCATTGTTTTGAATTTCTATTCAGAAAAACTTCATCAGGGCATGATATGGGAAGCATACTATCGTAAATATATAGGGGAAAGAAAGGAAAAATTATCCCAGGGCCAGGATGAAATCTGAAAACGCGCAAATATGATAAAAGATCCATTTGCGACTTCAACATAGTTATGTTCAACCGCACTTAAATTAATGAACCCGTAGGTTTACGGTAGCGACAATGATTCAACGTTTATTATCCGGGAAGCCGGAAAACCGGTTGCAGGGTTAAAGCGGTTGATAGATCAAACTGAAACGTCCAAACTTTCCGCTGAGACGAGAAGGAAGCCGCCGTTGATTAGCGTTCAGTCTCACCTGAAACACTGCTAAAAAAAACTTGAAATATAGAATTTAATAATAATCAAATCAGCTGCAACGAAGATGTCAACATTTTTTTTAAATGCAATTTTGCAATGAGAAATAAATTCTTACGCTTTTTCCGACACCATTTTACTCTATTCTTGAACGATTTACTGAAATCCAGACGTTTCTGGCTTGCTATCAATAATCCTTTCACCAAATGTACAAATGACAAAGCTACCAATATTCATATTACGGTAGTATTGTACTACGCTGATGGGCCGTCCGGAAATTTACAACCGATTACGGGTAGCTTGCATATACGGCTTCGAATACGGTGAAATCATCAGAAACTTCGACTGTGCAACCCTGCTTATACACCCCGTCTTCAACATTAACAAGGGAGCGATGCTCAAATATATGGACACGAAAATCAAAACGAAATAGTACGGACATGCACTCTGTCACAATAAACTACCGGCAAAGCAATCTTCACGAATAACGAGAACGCAGAACCGCCACAAGGTGCGCAATATTTGATGACGTCATCGAATAAAAAAAAAACGAATTCCATGGATCTCACAGAAATATTTGAAATAAATAATGGTAATAGACTTCTGGCGAAAAATACAATCTTCAACCACTGACAATTTCATAGCAACTTGTCCAGTGGTTGTGAGAAAAGCGTAATAACAAAAATATCTATATGTCCATTTTGTGCCCGATAATTGTCCTATATCTTAATGTTACGAAACAAATATAAATACAATCAAAACTGTGAATGACAAATCTAACACAGCCGCAATAACGACAAAGATTAGTGAAACTTCTGATTATTTTTAATCGGAAAGCTGCTTCCCAGCTTGTCAATGCAAACGTTGAGTCTGCGTAACGGCTGAGTATGATTCACACTGTGCAATGTATGTATTTGAGCGCAAGCAAAGTCTGGTGTAATTTAGAGTTGCAGAATACAGATCAGAATATATCAATATAGAATGGAATGTAGGAGCAGACGAGCTTTATGGATTTGCGGAGTGCGTTGGTGTGCAGCGCAGCTTTTCATTTTATGAGGAGGGGGTGATCCCAAATTTAGGGGGTTGTAGATATTTTACTATTAGTAACTTACAAAGAAATGTGTTATGTATTTGGCTGACTATCAGCGCTGGCATATACGCCACTATATTATATATATTGGGATCCACCCAATCATATGACGAACCAGTTGCCGGTCCATGTCGGATATTGACATATTAAACCAGTTATTGGTCGCAGATGCATGAACTTAATGGATTGACTATTAAATTCGTCAGTTGTTTCCATCCATCATTTCAGTGGAATAAATTTTCGGCTTAAAACTTGATCTCAAATTGAGTAATGCAGTAGAGTAACGAATATTTTTTGTAAGCATTCGTGTCTCTGTCGTCATAACGGCTATCTATATAGGTGTCATCAGCCTAATATTAGTTTCGGGCGCATAGCCTGCTCCACTGTTATGTCAAGTTCAAGTAATAAAAATAGAATTTTTATCCCAGGACTTGTCCAGTAGAAATGAGGATTCCCCGGTCATTCGTCGGTATCATGTCTCATTAAACATGGTAATTTCTAGTAATATAATCGATTTTAGTTGTTGTAACTCCCAATTTATACGGCACTACCATCAATAACAGTAATTTAGAGACTAGAATATTCCTAATCTGTATTATAACCTTGGGTTCTCCGCGACTTCCCTGCCGCAGTAAAACTGCGTAATTATCATTTTCTCGTAAATAGTGTACGATTTTTTTTGGAAAAACTAATCTTGACCTGAATAGAGCACCAGAGTTTGGCTACACGGAGTATTGAATTCCATCGTTATTTGAATCCATCATTTCAGGAGTAAAAATAAATTTTTGTCCCATATTAGATTTGTGCACAACACTACAGTTTGCGGTTGGCATTCTGGGTACATCCACATATCTGCCATTACGGCTGCTTATATGTTAGCCTCCACGAAGCTACCAATTGGAATCTTAATTGGACATCCCACACTGTAACACGCAAAATGAAGAGCGTTTGCGACGACTACCTCGGCCAGGGAAGGTAAGATCAGCGGGATATGAAACGATTGAATCGCGTGAAGCGGCATTATTTAGTCGGCCTAGTGAAAATTATCTTTTATGCAATTATGCAAGGAAAAAATGAATCAAAAATATCCAAAAATAACATTGTTTGGAAAAAGATTGGAGTAAAATATGGCACAGATAAATGCAGCAACAGTGTCGGATAAAAATCCCCGGCTGGGTCGACTATTATTTACGGAGCCCTGCAAATTTGACACTCGACAAACATATGGATATAGCAGTACCTTATAAGTTCCAAAAGATAATGCCATATTTCGATTACTTCATTGTTGCCACATTACGACGCTACTGTTGTCAAATGCCTTTAGTGCTTCTTTTGACAGTTACAAAATTAGCCAAGTCAGTATTTTGATAAGTAAACAAATAGCTCGCGGAGTTCCCAGGTTTCTCACACTTTGAGCCCTGGGGCTTCGTATGGTGCACTTTGAGAACCTATTATTTGGATGACTTGTTTGATAAATAGTGACTCGAAAGTCCTACATGGTCAGATCTACTATATAGTTTAGACCAGTGGTTCTCAACCTTTTTTCTTTCGTGGCCCACTTTCGTTTTATAAAAATTCTGTGACCCACTAACTTTCTCATGGATGGAAAAAACTACAAGAAAAACAAGCAAAAATAAATATATACTTTCACTTTAAGAATTAGAACGAAACGCAGCAGCACCATTCATTGCTACTACAATAAAAATTTGACTATAATGACACAAATGAAACTGAAATTTTCAATAACCATAGTAATTTTGAATAAGCTTGTGGCCCACTTGAAAATGTCTATATGGCCCAGCACTGGACTATGGCCCATTGGTTGAGAACCAGTGGTTTAGATAGATAGTGTATATAGTTACCAGCCGTTGACCCAGCGATTACAGGGTGCTGCTGCGTCCTCAACCAACCCATATATTACGCAATTCTTGACTATTAGGATAGGGTTCAAATAGTTTTCCTGGGAAAGAAGGAAGTCAATGAGACGGCTAAATCATATGGCGAACGGTCTCTCTTCCTGTTACACGTCGGGAATAGGATAAGTTAGACTGTTACTTGTTCCAGTGCATGGATATGATGGAGAGGAAGCCGTAACCGACCAGCAGTTATGTGAACCACCCTACGACGAGGAGTCCAGCAATCCTCTCGGACATAATTATAAATTCGAAAAAATGGCGCGTCTTAAAAAGTTTGTGAACCACCGCTCTAACCACTGAGCCATCGTACCCACTAGGCCTATTTGAAATCTATAATTTCACTTTCTTTCTTCAGTTCCTTCCAAATCTTCTTGACATTGGTCCGTTATCCACTCGGGATCGCGCTCTTTCTCTTACCCTGGTCAATGAAGTTCGGAGGAATCATAGCTGGCCCGATACTCATTGCTGTGTTTGTCATCATCAATGCATACAGGGGGCATGTGCTGACGAAGATTGCGGAAGATTTAACGTAAGTACTAAGTCAGTGATTCCTAAGCGGGGCCCCATGACCCACCAAGGGGCCCACAGAGCATTTGGAGGGGCCACAATGCTGGAGGCAAGACAGATTTTCATCTCCATTTCCCCGTTCTCCCTAGTTTCATTGTTAGATAAGGTTATGTGTTTCACAGGGTGTTTTCATTTTCTTGAGCAAGGGTTGTTTGAACATAATGGGATTTGGAATCTACCAATCATAATAACGCTATAAATATCACTGGAATGATAAACAGTACTACGTGATATCGTGCGTTTCGTGCATCTGCTTGCCACCAGTCTACTTATAGTTGAACTCCGATTAAATTTACATGAGCTGTTTTCCATACTTATATTGCTTACACATCACCACTAGACGGATTAGGAGCGATGCAAAAATTCAGGCCGTCAAACCGATACCTGAGCGGAACAGAATGAACTTGGGTTCGCATGTGCAAGTGGCCAGCCAGGAAACCCGCTTTTATGGTCAAAGACATTCTCGGTAAAACTTGAATACCGATACTGAAATTTATGAGTAGGTGTAGATAGTATGAATAACTGGTTCAATTCTTCAAGCTTCTAAATTTCAATAAGGGTTTTGAATGACCACCAGTCATGCCGCTAAGATCGGTATTAGCCCTCTGCTCTCTATGCTATGTTTCTTTGCGCGTTTATATCGCTCAGGACTAAATCAATTATGAAATCAATGACCATCGAATCATAAACACTACACAGAGCGTTATCCTTACCTTCCAGGTCGAAAGGTATCGCAGCCCCTTCCGGCATCAGCGACTGGTGGGTTCTAGAGAACTCAATGGGAGGAATAAGGCGAACCTCAGTCAATTGCTACCTCGTCATATTCTCTACGATTCAATGGTTTTCCCTGCTCGGCCACGCAAGCACGTTCCTGGCTTTCGCGGGTCTCAGTTTTCGCCAGGTATGTATTTTCTTTCTGCAGATTCAGAGCTAGAATCATTTCAATTATTTGACTAAAAGCTTTGGATATGACTAATCAATACTGTAAAGTGCTTTTCTACGAGAAGCAATGGTTCCGGCGCTCCAGAAGTATGTGTAGTTGTGTACCAATATGGAGGTAACTAGTTGTGTTCGCCTACTTTATATCAAGTTGTGTAAAAGGACTGAAACCTATGGGCATTTCACTTGACTAACACAAACAGTCCCCGAACTAGTAATAGAACTAAAATAAGGAAAATCGGAATAAAATTATAGCCTAACCTGGTACACATACTATGGGGGTACCATGGTTGCTATCAAAATCGCACTAGGTGGGATATCGAAGAAAGGAAATTTCCCATGGGTCAAACTTACGGAGGGAGAAATTTTCTGGCTGGATTTTTTTGTGGATAGAAATTTTTGCGTACGTATGCTCCCCTCATGATTAACCCACCTTACCTCTTTCCTAAGTAAATATCATCAATTCAACCCTGCCTTGTTACTATATTAATATATTACGTTTTCTCAGTAACGTACCATAAATTCAATTTCAAACATCGGACCTTATCACACACGTCCTAAACGTTAGTAATCCCCTCGTCGCTTCATGGGTTTGCAGAATCGAGTCGAATAGTAATCGAATGTGTGAGAGGATCGCTGCTCCTCGTCGCTGTAGGGTGGTTCACTTCCTCCGCCATAAAGTCCATGCTTCCGAAAACAAATATTTCGCTAAATAATCCCGTACCCGATATGAACTGGTACCCGGACGAGAGGCCGTGGTTCGCCATATGATTAAGCCGTGTTATCGACTTTCCTCTCCCCCGGGATAAATTTGTGAATCCTATCATATTTTCATCCTGTTACAGATATATGCAAGATTCCCTGAGATAACTATTCCAATCCTATACTTTCCAGGTGTTCCAGACATCGGCAGGTGTTGACGGCGATCGAGTTGCTATAGGAATTTGTATCGTAGCGGTGGTTATCGCTCACGCGTTCACTCAGTGGTTGCGAAACAATATTCATGGTTCGTGTGAGGATTGCATCTGCCCTTGCATTTGCTCAGCTTTCCTTCTCATTCTAATGCCCGCCCTGTTCGCTGTTTTTCTTGGTTTGCCAACGATTGTATTTTTCACTTCTCGACTGGTGAGTATCTCTATTCATTATTGGACACAAAATGGACCTATGGATCATTTTGCTATTATCAAAATCAAAAATTGTGCTCCTTGTGGCGGTTCAATATTGTACACGAAATGAAACTGTTGGCTTATTGGGTATTATTCGTTTTTTGTGTTCGATGTCATCATCGAAATTGAAAATTGCGCTACTTGTGGCGGTTCCGCTTTTGCGTAAATTCAAATCTGCTGCTCAGCTGCGATACGGCACCGATGGGCTACTGTAACAGCTTATATATCCGTACCATTTTGTATCCATATATTTGAGCATCGCTCTCTTGTTTTATATGGTTGGTGTCAACCATAGCTGTCGAAGATAATATCCTCAAAGCAAGGCCAGCGCAGTCAGATATAAAAGAGATCCCGAAATGCGGAAACTATTTATAGTTACGATGGTGCATTACACGTAATTACCACAAGCGGAACTTGAAGCAGCACAAATCTAATAAAAAAGTATCTTTCAAACATCAGAATTAAAATCAAATTAATGGCTCGGAGGGTCGAGTGTAAATTCTCGCAACACCATAACCCTTTCGTCTAGTATCGTGGCATGTTGATGCCGTAGATGACAAACATGGTCTCCATAAGCTTCAGTCCACTGGCATTGTTTATACCTGTTGCCCTGCACATCCAGTCTAACGCCACAACTACCCTGATCAAATTGTTCAATGTTTTAGGCCTCAAGCAACGACGCTCTTCAACTGACTACCGATACAAAATGGGATAAGATATGCTTACTATTTGCGGGAGTTATTTTCACAACAGGGGCTACTCCTGATGACGTAAGTATGATATGACGCCATATTCGATAACTTCACAATATGACGTTATTGTCTCCACTGAAGCCTAGAGACAGAGTAAACTTCACAAACAACTCCGAAAAGTATTTGTTACATCGGCACTGAGACTTATTTTCAAAATTTAGTATAATCTACGCGTCGATAAAATTTGAAACACTCCGCGATCAGCTCATAACATTATTTCAAAAACTAATTTTATATCGCCAATGCGCCAAATAAAAATTGAATGACAGGTTGTGCGATGATAATACGCACGTATAACGATGCAAAAAAAGATTCTTATAATTCAAATCATATTCCTTATTGTCTTGTTGACGCTTGGTTAGGAATTCTGTATCATGAAATTTGTGTAACGTTTCCCCGACCCATTTTCAAAGCCGCCCGAATTAAAAAAAAAATATTTGGTGAAATCTCGCGACCCAGGAATATGCCAAATACAAAACAACCAATTCTACATAGCAATCATTTCACCAGAATTTACTTCAAAGTTGCACTAAAGAGAATGCTGTTTTTGTAACAATGGCGTGGCTTTACTTTAAGCAAAGCAAGATGGATCATGCATTGATTCTTCCCACATATACAATTACTATCGAGCAACGCTCAAATATTAAATACTAAATAAACAATGGAATTTTCTATAATTTGATATCACCAACTCACAATGCGAGAGGAATTTCAGGCGACCAAACGTTAGGTTGTGACTTGGGTTGGGCATTTTTGAATATCAAATGATTCCAGAATTTAATAATAAAATATTTTAATTGTAATGGGTCCTTGAGCCACATAAATTAGTGAAAACACGTTATCTATAACTCAGGCAGTTCACTGAGTGCTCATACACATATATATGTCAGAATTGCATATTAAAATATTCAAACGAATTAAAAATGATCGATTCATCTCGACCTGACGGCGGTCAGAAAAGCAAAATGGCGGCGATTTGAAAAAATTCCCGTCAAAACCGAATCGAATAATTTAGGATTTGATTCAAAATGCCGTGTCCTGGTTGTGACCCACTCGTTGGAAAACATTGCTTTAACTCATCTTTGTGAACCCCCGCCAATTTTCGCTTTGCCTATGCCTCCATTTCTTACAATTTAACATTATTTCAGGTAACAGCGTCTTATGAGAATCTCAGGGATCGCAAGAAGTTTCCGATCATATTGATAGTGGCTGCGTTTGTAACGATTGTGGTCGGTATCGGAATGTCTGTCGCAGTCTTCCTGGGTCTCGGGCTCGAAACTTGCGGAAGCATCACTTTCAATTTGCCTCTCAACGGAGGGTGAGTAAAATGCTATGAATAATTTTGAATACAAGTTTTATAAACGTTTCGACACAAATATAAAGTGAAAAGAGTAAGCTACTGGAAGAAGAGTTGCAAGTTTCCACGAAGCAAGTTCCCGAGTCCTCGAATGTGGAAAGAGTGTCCAAAAGTATTGAACAATTAAGATCGCCACTATTAGACTGAGAGTTATATTTAGGGGTGTATAGTTTGCCCTAAGTAATGATCACCGCCCCAACTATAAAAAGGTCACTTAGTTAATACAGCTTTAATAATACTCAACTCCAAACAAGGCTCGTTAAAATCATCCACTGATGCATATTTGTAAGGACCAGTGTCTTTCTGATCCGAGGCTTCCTCCCTAATCACATCCTTTAATGAGGTGGCACTGTGGGCATAAGACTAAATATTTAAACGTCGTAGAAAAGGATGGAAGGTTTTTGGGACAGGGGCCAAAAATTTTGCTCACCTATACCAGCGGGCCATGTAAGTGTGACGTAAAAAGTTATGAATATATATAAATATTTTATGAACAATATTTTCAGTGTTACAAAAGCAAAAGTGGAAAGCAATAAGCTTTGTGCCAAAACTGAATTTAATCGAAATCTCAACAAATTTCTTGAGTTATTATTTAAAATTTGGTTTTGGTTTAGTTGTGGCAGCATCAGACGAGCCAGATTGAATTACCCAACAGAATATGACCCGCGGGTCGTACTTTGTCCATGTCAGTGTCAGCAGTTTAATCAAACAAACAATTTTCTTTGCAGAACTTACCCCATTGTGCGGATAGCATCTGGGACACTGGCATTAGTGTTCGTATCATTCCGACACCAGATCGACCCTGCATTATCTGAACGCTTATCTGGGGCTGAGATTTTATGTGATGTCGCATTTAAGATGATTTTTCTTGGAGTTGCAGGTACGTTGTCGTCACTTGCTTATTGGACACGTTTAGTGGCCATAACGATCGTTTCAAAGTTTTGTTGTTATTGTTATTTTCTTTCGTCATTATCATTAAAAACTCGCTTTTCTCTTCGAATACTGGACCAATTGCTTTGAAATTTAATTTTCAGTGGTTAAAGATAAAATTTTTCTCCAGAAGGCTATTACTTTTTTTTTCGCTATGACTTCATCAAAATTATTGCCATTGGGTGGCGCTACGTGTCCATATATTTGAGCATAGCTCTCTTGTTTATTTGCTTAACTTAGTTATGGAGCGCTTCTATATATTCACTCCGACAAGGTTATGTGCGCAGTCAATGATGTGTGAGAACCTTCTGGTTCGGCCGTTATCACATCTTGGGAACGTGGTGGATTTCGAACGTGAAAACTTTATTGTGTAGTGCATTAACCAAGAATAGTTTAAAACGATTCTAGGAAATTTCGCCGTAGGGAATCTTGATTTTTTATGCGGCGAACTTTCCTATGCGGCAAAATTTCCTGCCGCGAATTTTCCAGACACGGTTTGTAACACATACCCGATTGAGGCTATGCTGGTATTGTTAACATTGCAGCATAAATATATCAGCTCCGACTCTCATATTTACCACCTCAATGTATAGAAAAAAATTGGATAGGTAGTGCCCAACTGGGGTGATTCCCCTTCTCCCACGACATAGCAGCTATCTTCGTGCCTAGTAGCCGCTTGTAAAGAGCCTTGTTGTAACCATCCCACAATAATAATTTTGCAGTGACCGTAGGGAGGGATCACCGACAGCTTCCTTTTTACATTCTAACATTTCGAATAAATTCATTTCAGGAGGACTGGCACTCGGGATTCCAAGCTACGCAGGCCTTGCGTGTTTGTTCGGATCTTTGACTTCATTCACGCTGACTTTCGTTTTTCCATTCTTGAGTGATCTCTTGCTACACGTAACTGGGGGAAGGGTGGCAGCAGACGATAATGAGGATTTGTTGCATGACGAGGAAGGAACAAGTCTAACTGGGTGAGTGTTACCAACTTTCCTTACTTGAAACACTGTAAACCTTCAACTGAACAGTATAACCCTGCGTGTGGCAGAAGGCGGACAACTTGTCTACAAGAACGAGTCGTCACAGATTACTCGCCCATACAGCGTTAGACGAGTTATCCGACTTGGTGCCGTTTTGATTGCCAAATTTACTGTTAATCTTTTTAAGGCAAAAAATCACTATTTTTTATTTAGAATAGGACATACATATTTTTTCCGGGTGATGTGGCATGATATTATTCCCATGCTCTCCAAATAAAAACCCGGAAGTCTCGCTGCTCAATTACCAGCTTTGGTTTCTTACAGCTTCCATATCTAAGAAAAATCGTTCGTCTATTTTGGTGGATAGAAAAGCCTACGAGACTGTTTATTCATATGGCGAACCACGGCCTCTCGTCTTGTTACCAGTTTATGTCAAGTGTGGGACCAGGTAGCAAGTTAACAGTTTTAGATGCATGGACCGGAAGCCGTTACCTATAACCACCCTACGGCCTCTTGAGATTCTAACCTGTCAACCCACACAAGATAATTAGAAGTGCGATGGCGGGCGCATTCCTAACGCTTAGCATGATGCGCCACACCACTGACCGGGTTAGCATGTGATGTTCTAAACTGAGGGTAACAAACTAAAAGCGCCTAAAATATTACCAGTTTCTTTATCCCTGCCTAACGTATCAAATTTCATTTCAATTTCCAGAGAACCGTCCAGCAGGCACCAACACCAAGAACCACTGTCCGTGCTTCGAATAATCAGAGATGTTCTGTTCATTGCAATCGGTATCGCTGGACTAATCGCAGGGATGGCCTATACATCTGAATTCCTACGGACTGAGTTACAGCAAAGCGCACTGGCAGACTGCGACCACGTGCCGTACAACGGAACCTCTATCTTCAGCACTGTTTGATTTTCGGTCTACTTGGACGTGATTTAGTAATAAGCGCAGTCGTCAGTCGGATATCGATCGACCAGGGAGTGACATTTTACCGAAATAACAATTTTTAAAAATATTTCGAGTTAAGCTCACAAAAAGTGGTGCTATCGTAGTTATGATGAAGCAACATACATGCAATTATCATGCGATACCCATCCTCTCCACTACAATTTTGATATTTTCAATGATTTTCCATAATCTTGTTTTACATCAGGCGCGGGAAATTAATTTTTTGAGTGGGTCAGATAATATACCTGGTTACTGGCCCGGAGACTCAAAACTCAATATGTAAAACTATGAATAGAAAAGTTTATTTACAACAGATAGGCTAACGTTTATATAATAATAAGCATAATCGGGTCATTGTGACATTATTATCATCGTTATTTTCAACAGAAGTTCATATTTATAAAAACTATAGTCGTAATTTCAGCGGACACAAGCGGGCCAGATGAAACACATCTGTCGGTCAGTCGGCCGGCTCGCGGGCCGTAATTTTGCCACCCCCGTTATGGTACACTTTTTTATTCTTTCGCATCTCAAAAGCATCAGAGATTTAATATACTGCGATTTGCAACTAAAGAATTTCAAGGAAATACTCACCGTCATTCTTACGTTTATCGATTGCAAGAGTCTTTCTCCCATCCGTGAACGTGTATCACCATGTAGGCTACCAGTGTTGGGACGGCTCAACGTGACTCTGCTCATCTAAATAAAATAACCCAGTGCTTGGCCCACTTACCGCGCGGTTCCTGGGTTGGAGACGGACTTCCGGTACCCTGCAATGTACTATTCTTAATTGTATATATTTATAGTTATTTATTTAATTTCGTAGTATTTAATTTTCAAGGTATTTTGTTTTGTTCGTAATGTCTGCATGAAAATATTTTTCGTACCATTTCATGTCTGAGTGAAATAATTTATCTCTGTGCAATTTTTCAGCTTGTTAATATATATTTATGAACAGCCAGCAGTTGGCAGCATATACGCTTCAATGCTCTCATATTCATTCCAAATTTTGGCAGAATTTTCTCTACTGAAATTTAAAATAATGGATCAAGAGTAAAGATCAGTAGAAGTATTTTGCCTGAACTTAGCATTCGTGGTGTGATCCAGTTTTCAAATTACATGTTGCGATACAGTTTGATATCAAGCAACCTTCTCACTTTATTTACCTTTACACAATTTATTACAAAAAGTGACAGCGAACACATCAACGGTAATCTTTGCCTTAACATAGGTAAGACATTTGTAATAATTCTGGAAGAGAAAAATCAATAAGATGGTTCAAGCAATCTCAATCCTCAGTTGGCAAAGTAGGTTGGGCATTGCAAATAACAAATCAGTTAAATGTCCCAACATGGACGGTTTGATAAATTCTTGTTGTTAGAAATCTCCCGGACCAATCAATTTCAAATCTAAATTCCTAAAGAAAGAGTTTGATAATACTTAGTTTTTTTTTCAATTTCAGAGACTCATGAGACCCTAAATTTTATTAAAAGTTTGCTGCTTTATTTCAATTAAATGTTTGCTTGTTCGTCGATCTTATCAGCAAACTCGGTGCTCTCACGCCTTATCGTACCGGGGCATGATCTTTATGTCCATAAATTTAAACATTGCTCTGTTGTTAATAATATTTAATTTTTAACTCATTTATTGTTAACCTGCATATATTGTAGTATATTATTGTGATATGTAATAAACGGTGCTTCTTGTCATCATTTCACATGTTTGTGAACAACGACCTAGGATGGAGAGTTGGTGAAAAGTTATACAGACACGATGAAACTTCGACTTAACTTGTCATTCAATCAATATTTCTGCTTTCTCAAATTAAATGTAGGATAGGATTTACATACTTATCCCGGAGGCGAGGAAATAGTATATGATTGCTTAATCATATGGCGAACCTCGGCCTCTTGTCCGGTTACCAGTCCATGTCGGGTATGAGATTAGTTGGATAGTTATTTGTTTTTGAAAGCATGGACTTGATGGTGAAGGAAGCCGTAACCGATCAGCGGTTATGTGAACCACCCCAAGGCGGCGAGGAGTCCAGCAATCCTCTCGCACATTATTATCTCTGCATAGAATGCGAACCAACGCATGATAATCAGAATTGCTCCACTTCGGAACGTTTTTGCTGATATATAGAACCGCAAATTCACTCATTGAAGTTGAAGTAAAAATTTCTGAAATAGTCTGAAATTTTGTTTTCACAATCTGCTATGCGAATAATTCAGCAAACATACTGCAGCGCAATATTCAACAACCTCGCACCTAAAAAGCAGCTGGCAAAGCAGATACAGAAGTAGCCAGTGCCGAATATTTTAGTCGACAAAAAACAGGTCATCAAATTCATAAATTTAGTTCTAATCCTATTTAATATCAAAACTAAAGTACTTTATGAAAGTTATAACGTTAAATCAGACGAAGTATGGGTGGTTGCAAAAGGGCATATCGTTGCCTCCCAGTCGTATACAAAAGCATCTGTTTATTTATATATCTATGTATATTGTCTGGGTTTTGTGGTTTGACAATTAAAATGAACTTTCTATTGTTCTGAGTACGAAAATGACCACTGACTTGGACCAAAAGTAATACAAGAAACGGATTTAGCCATAACTCTGCATATGTGCATTGTGGGTTCGAGTATCGTCTGGCTTGTCTACCTACCTGCTGTACAACTGTAGGCTACTGTGATTATTTTTCTCAGTCAGCAAGCCCTAATCACGACTCTGATTAACTTACAAAGCTCTGGCAATGAGCCGTTATTTGTCATCCATCGTTTGACATGAACGACGTCCCTAGCTAATGACCAGTCATGGGCCGAAAATGGCCATTACAACTACTACAGGTGCTACCCTTCATTTATCTCTTGTAGAAGATCCTCCAAACCTTAAGCATTAACCATCTGTCAAAAAAAACACCATGGGTTATATTGATTCCACCAATTTAAACTAGACATTCCGAAAACAGGTGGTCTTATCAGAAGACTCACTGAAGTTTTTGATTCTCAAACCTTCCTGTGATGCGATACCAAAGCTTGTGTTCCAAATGACCTATTTCGCTGACCCCGAAGCAATTTTCTGTGAGCCTTGGTCCACCATATGATTAAGCCATTTTATCGGTTTTCCGGTCCTACGAGATATATTTTTATTTTATACACACGTTGTCAATGTGGAAATCACATTCTAAATTACTCAAGCGTATTATCGGAGGCGGGTCTATATAATCTGATTGGTTGGTTCTTGCACCAAAACAACAGGTGAATCTGGCGCGGCGTGCGCTGGGTTTTGTGTAGGATTTCTAGTACAGTAACTATATCATTTATCCCGAGGGAAAGGAGGGCCTGTGGGCTTCTGTGTGTTACTGATATTTGTTGAACACGGGTTTCCGTATGCATCCGGGAGTAGAGGAAATGTGATAAGGCGGTTCAATCGTGCTGTCTGGTTACCGGTCCATGCCAGTTTTGAAGGAAAGTTAAAAATCAGGTTCAGATGCCAGGATGCGGGAACCTGATATTGTTATAGTCCGTATGTGAACCACCGTTCGCGGAGAGGGCTCCAGCAATCCCACTTCAGAATATATTCAATAATATATAAATATGCAATAATAATTTATAATAGTCTGATATGGTTCCCAACCTTTTGAGGCTCATCAATTATTAGCCTTGTGACCCGGTTAGGAACCACTGATTTATAATATTCAAAAATTAATGTAAACCATGTAGTATTAAGATACAGTAGAATAGATATTACGGCGCAAGTTCACTAAATGCCTCGGGTCTGGTGTAGTTTCGTACCTAACATACTTCTAGTGAGCGTATCGCAATAATTTTTTTACATAGGCCTATCAATCCTCACCTGACTATGCCATTCAAAAATTACGTCACTACGACACCACAATCACGTCATAGAGCTTGTCAAATATACATACGATCGCCCGAAATGGCATCGGCGACAACGATCAAGAACTGATTCGGATGCTCGTCTGCGCGTCTTGGACAACAGTTCGTATAGTTTGAAGGGCTCTATTACGTCACTGACGTAATTTTTGGATGGCGTAGTCGGGTGAGGGTTAGGATTAATATTATAATAAATTGTTATGCTACGCCCACTAGAAGTGGATTAGGTATGAAACTACATGAGACCCACGTGCGATTATGCGAAGGACCAGTGCCAACGGAGCTGATAAGAATCGGGAAACACTACCACGATACGTCTTACCTGTTAATAATTAATGAACTAACGATGATTAACACGATATGCAGCGGAGGGTTGTGAACATTGCCTGATGTATCTAAGTTTAATCTTCCTCTATATTTCAGGAAATAGCTACTAGGAATAATTTAAATAATTAGGAATGTGAGCAAGGAGGATGGGTGATACATCTATTCCTGAATTTATCACAAACCTTAGCGATGCCGAACTGAGAGCGGAACTGGGTAAAGTAGGGGTTAACGCTGGCCCCATAACCCCCACAACACGAAGACTATTCAGGAGTCGACTTGCAAAAAAATTAGGAGCTGTGTCAGCGTTTCAAAACAAAGAAAATCAAGAAAAGCAAGAAGAAAAATCAACTGTTGTCACGGCAACTGAAAAACTACTAACTGCTTCAAAAATAAAAGAAAAAGAAATTTTGATAAAAAATGATGAGGTGAAAGTGTATTATGGAATATTTCTACCCAAAACTGACCCGAAAAATGAAAATATTGAGCCAATAGTATTTGAAACAAAGTCGTCAACGTTACTAGCAATTAAAGAGCATAAAACAGCAAGATTTAAAGTTTTTGATAATTATGAAAAAGCGAAAGAATATTCTTTAAATGGGATGGAAGAGCAAAGAAGATCATCTTCAGAAATAAAAAGTTCGAACTCTACGGAAGATATCGGGAATAAATTTCCAAGTTTGAAGCAAGAAGATTTGAATGTTTTGATGCGTTATATAGAAAACGGACAATTGGAAGACGTTCGCAAATTAATTTGGAGCAATCCGAAATATCTTATAAGTTCTGCAGATGGGCCTGTCGTTTTAAAAGCGAGTGCTAGATATAACGCCCTCCACATTGCAGCGAAATCCAATAAACCGGAAATTTGTTCAGAAATTTTAGCAGTTCTTGAAAATTCTGAATTTCATGAGTTAATGTTCCCAAATTCCAGCGATGAAAAGTCTGAAAGAATGAACCATATTCTTGATTTATATCTGAATACCCCTGAAAAAATATTATTTGAGACGCCGTTACATTTTGCATGTAAATTAGGATTCAAAGAAGTCGTTGAAATTCTTATATCGCACACACAATGCTCTGCGGATGTACGCAACAAATTCGGACAACTGCCTTCGGAAATGATCTGTTCAAGAGCTTCCCAAGAAATGAAAAGTAATAAAAAAGATATACAACGGTTGCTAGGAGAACAGTTCTATGTTCCTTTGTTACGTTTCCATGACAACAGCGAGCATGCGATCGTTGGGACTCCAATTACGCTTAAACAAAATATTGACGATTATAATATGCTGTCACCTGCCCAACTAAATCTTGGCAGCATGAATGACTCTCCTTTGAGGCCTAGTCTTGCTGTCAGCGCTCTTGCTGGACCTATGGCAAAAGAGCAAGCTATAAAATTTCGAAAGTTTTGGACGACACCTTCCAAACGGAAAGATTTTGGGAAAACTGTGAGATATATTCGACGCACAGACAGCGAAAAAGGGGACGAACAAATTGGGCGCCAATTAGCTGAGAAGGAACATGTAAAATGGATGGAATATTGGGATTTCCTGGATGATTTTGCTAACTTTGCTAATGAAGAAGGGCTTTTAAAATTAGAGGAGTATTTACAGAATAAAATGCCTTTAATCAATATGGCAACTATCCCGCCAAAATTAAGTGATAGTTTTAATCGAAATATGTCTGAAATAACGAATAGGTTAGAGAACATCCATCTCAATCGAGACGGGTTAGAAAGCATCTGTGCCGATCGTGATAAACCAAAAATGAGGATTAGCAAATCAAGTCCTTTAGTTGGAAAAACAGGAAGAGAGTTTGAAGAAAATACTGCAAATGCGAAAAAGGATTCTGGTTCTAGTGTATCAACGAATTCAAGCGATTCTTCAAACTATAAAACCCCACCTGAGAATTTATCAAAAGAGGAATTTGTCACACCAGAACAAAGAGATCAGCTTCAAGTACAACAAGGAGATCAAAAAACCGATCGTTTAGTGAAAAAATTATTTTCTAATGAAAATATAAACTCTATTGATAATTTTGTTGACGATTTTTCGAAAAATTTATCCATTGCAGAAAAAAATGAACCAAACGTCATCAATAGTCCAGAAGTCAATTGGTTTTCAAAGAATAATTTTATAACCGAATTTCGTCCCCCCTCAAAACAATACCGTAGCGTCGGGGACAATGATAGCGATGTTTTTTCCTCCCCTTCGAGTTCGGACATCAGTGAGAACAGTTATGTTACAGAGAACATTGCCATTGCAACAAAAAATGATGTTTTTCTCGTCGGGAACGCTCCCACAAAGTTAGACCGTGATGTGCTAATAGCAATTGGCGATACTGATCTCGAAACATCGAAATTTCCCGCAATTTTAAGATGGAAACTATCGATTCTCGCGTTTTCAGAACAGGAGCGAACGAAATGGTCAACACCAAGAAAAGAACGCGTATTTTCTTTCACCCCCGATCGTCAAAGTCCGACCCCAAACAAGACTTCATCCCCCAATGTTCTAACTCCATCCAGTGGACGCTTAAATTCATTTTTTACGCCAGATAGAAATATGAGACGATATTTGTACAGGTCCTTCACATTGCCAAGCCCTAAAGTTGAATAAAACTGCCAGATCGCTTTTCCATTTGCTGTTTTACCTATAATTAATGAATTAGAAATCAAATCAAAGTCTTTGTAATACTGCTTTATTTTTTTCTGTAATTGCAAACTGGTTTTACCTATATGAAAATACTGCAAATATTATAAAAGAAATTATCTTTTTCATTTTCTTGTGGTCGTGGAGTTGAAAGGCAGTAAGCCCATATATTTATGAATATATTCTAAATTGGGTTGCGCAATGAAGAAGTCAATGTATATTAGATAACTATGCGATTCAAGAGTCCTGCACACCAACACATGTATTTCTGTAACTTTTCGTCCGACCAAAATCAGACGAGCAGTTTGCCGTAAACTGCTTGTCTTAGAAGACTGATTTTGGTATTTTATTCCTGCTACAGCATCCTTGTATTATACGCATACAGATCCACTAGCGCAAAGGCATTGAGGAAGGATTGGGAGTGAGTCTCGCATAACCTCTACTGATACTTCAATTAGATGAGTTTGAAATTGAAGATGTGGAGTAATTTGGCTCTCAATCAAAGTTTCCAGAATTTAAATGAATGACCTTGCAGTCAAACCAGTATCTTACTCGAAGTGTAATAAATTGGTTGTAAGGGTTGAAATGGAAAGGTTGTTCCAGACATAGTAACTGTTAATTAATTTACCATAGACTTGCCTGAATTGAAGACATCAAAATACTCCTAACTGGAGCAATTGTCAATTACAAGCTGTCTCCATGGTAACTAAGTCCTAATCATACTCCAAGCACTTGGACTCAACCAAGATGTCAGCTGAAGATAAGATTTAACTGCACAGAGATGCAAAAAATTGCATTTGGAACCTTTGAGAAGTGTTAACGACACCAGGCCAAAAGAATTTTCCATTCGCTTTGTAAATTCAATACTCTGGGATAGACAGCTGGTGCGGCGTTAGGATGTAGTTTCTGGTTACATTTCAGTTTTTTGGAACAATGCTTATCACGTCTTTTTCTCTGAACAGGGCCACATATCTTACGATTTGTGGATAGGATAGCATTCACATGTTTGTCTTGAGGGGGAGGAAGCTGATAAGACGGCTTATTATATGATAGGACTTACATATTCATCCCGGATGAGAGGAGAGCCGATAAGTCGGCTTAATCATATGGCGAACCACCGCCTCTGGTAACCAGTCCAGGTCGGGTATGGGATTAGTTAGTTATTTGTTTTTGGAAGCATGGACTTGATGGTGGAATAATCTGAAACCTACCAGTGGTTACGTGAACCACCCTATCCTTCGTTTATTCATATGGCGAACCACAGCTTCTCATCCGGTACACCTAGGGTGAGGAACTGACAGATTCCCCGCTCCCATCAGGCGGATCATGGAGTGCTGGCCACTTAGGACTTCCAGCCACATCCAAGGAGGACCGATCTACTTTCAGATATTTAACCTCTTCCCGCTCCAACCAAAATAACAATGAGGAAGTCCATATTATGGACAGTTCCTCAGAGCTGACCCTGGGCCACAAAATTCTATCCCCATTTACAATACGAATGATTATTAGACACAAGGAACCCGAAACTAGACAGCTGGCGCTTTGTGTCTTGTTTCAAGACTGTAATGCTGCGATCAGGTGAGCAGTTGGTCCGAATTCACCTCACAGCCAAAGTTACAGCTAGAACAATAGAGTTGGAGGTTCTGTATTCAAGTTGGGACTTACGAGACATATCTTGGCTAGTCTCCCTGGCACTGATTGAAGGCGGTCAACTACAAGCCACCATGTCAGCTTTTATATCTATCCCGGCCAGCCGTAGACGCACCATAAATCATGATTGAATAGAATGCTGGGATCTTATGCAAGCATAAGGACTTCGATGACCCAGGACTTGAACCAACAGACTTTTGCTAAAAACTGCTGTTCACTTTGCCATCTTCCACAAACCAAACACTCGTTTGCAGTATGACAGGGACCTGGACAAAGAGGCTGCGTTCACCAAACGATTGAGAATCTCATGGACTTTCTCTTGCTCAAGAACCCCTGTAAACTGCAATAGGAACGGGGAAAAGAGTTGCTATACCAATGTCTCAAAATCATGCCCCCAATTTCGGATTATTAATCACAATTAAAATTTTCATCTCATTAAATTTCAATCAAACATTTGACACCATTTAGCAGAAAAATATACTGTACAACAAGAGAGAGTGATAGCCAAGCAATTTACGTTCAAAACTAGCAACAATGCTCACGACAATACAGGGTTTCGACACTTTGTATGGCCAAATCTATGAGCTCTGAGACAGCTCATTAGATACAGTTAAGCCTTGTGTTTCATGGCTAAAACTTGGTTCTTCAATTGACCCCCCACTGAATTTATTTTTCTGTCAACCATTTCCTTAAAGACCAAGGCTGCATTGAAGTATTTATAATAATCGGGAATTGAAAAATTCATTTGAAGCATCTGGTAATAAATGCTCAAAGTGACAAATTTACAAAAAAATAACTATTAAAAATTTATTATTCCAAATACCCTGGCATAGAATTGCACTACAACCCCCTAAATCAGGCCAATCTCTCATAACGTGAAGTGCCCGATCTCATTTTTTTAAGTCCTTAAAATTTGTATCCTCCCATAAGAAGCAGCATACTGCCAAATTGTCCATAAATCTTTGCAAATTTAAAAAGTTTTTCCTTTCATCCACCCCTAGTGTATTTCCCCCAGATGTGAAGCATAAAGACTGATGCAATAAATAGGAGACTCATCACTAGAACTGGTACTGGCCCACTGAAAAAAAAAGGCATGGATTAGGCGACAGAACAAAAGTTGATAAGGCTACATCATAAGGATCTCTGGATTAGATTTTGTATTTGATAAACTGCATAACCAAACTGCCACTGGAAAAAGTTGGGCAGAGTAAAGAAAGTATTCGTTTCAAAGGGGGAAACCGAATGTTACCATAAAAATTCCCTGTTCGGCCATGGCTGGAAAGTTGTTAAGGCTACATCAGGGAACCTCTGAATAAGGATTAGATTTTATATTTAAGTGAGAGATAAAACATGATAAACTGCATTATCATGAGATCTACTGATTAGGAACGGAATAGATATTTATCTGAGAAGAGAAAGCTGATAAGGAGGATTGCTATAACCAGAAGGGTCTGTTGAGGGACAGAAAGCTAATGGGACAACACATTGGTATATTCAATTGTTTGCTTTGAATGGGTATGGTATTAAGTTTTTTACGAAATTGAATGAGGGCTTCCATGGTCATACTATGACGGTATATCGGCCCAACTCAAGAATTCAGATTCAGAAATATCATTTACAAGTATTTGATTCGTTCTGGGCCCTGCCAATACTGAGAGACTCAAAGCAATTCTGCAAGATTGCCCAGTTTTCAGACGATTGTGTCCAGTAATTCTGGCATCGTACTATACAAATTTACGACAAGAATGTTGCACCCACCACCTCACCCAGGGTGTAATAAATTAGGTGAACCACAAAGTTACGAGTCCCCCTTATAACAGTAGTTGCTTACACACAGCCTTGCTCAGAGTGGAATTGTCAAAATGTATCATCAAAAAGTCGAGCAACAAAAATCATAGACTTACACTTTCAAACCGGGTGAATCTTCGTTGTAAAACCTCCACATGGTGGAGCCAGCAGTACTAGCAGCTGTCCCCCCAGATCCCTTGGAACGAGCATTAGGTGTCGCACGCCGTTGTCTTACAGTGGCTCCTCCACCACTACCCCTGCGAATATAAATAATATTTTTACTATTATGAAAGAGTGATAATAAGATAGATATGAATGAAAAGCGTGTCATCTAGAGCAGTGTTTCCCATCCTATGGGGCACAACCCAAATTTTCTTGGGTTGCTTGAACTCCATTGACTATACTTAACTTCAACTCTGAGTTGCGTTTGGGCTTTAATTATATGGCGCCGCAGCCTGTTGGTCTGTTTCATATGCATGGATTTGATAGTGGAGAAAGGTGTAACTGACCAGTTACATTACCTACCCTAGCAATCCTCTGGCCCAAGGTAACCAAAGGTGCAATGGCAAGCGTGTGCGTACCTAACATCGAGCACAATGTCGGTCAGCAGTTCCCAATAACATTACACTTACCTAGGCAAGTTTACAAAGTATAATCTAAACAAAGATATCTACAGATGGAATTTACCTTGGTGAGAAACTTTTTCCAGGAGATCTTCCGCCTCCCCCTACATTGGTTGAACTTGATGATGGAAGTGGCTAAAAAATAAATAATAACTTGCAAACAGACACAACAGCGTGATAAATTGAGTAGAATTTTTGTTCCTTCAAAAATAGTTTTTTTTAAATCCCTCCTCCTTTTGAAATGTGAACAAAAAAAGAAGAACCTGTCGGATCGGCTAGTTCACTGGTTCTTACATAGCCCACTGGCAATGCTCCCTCTGATTTTTTGTAGTATGTGTGCGCAGAAATTTTGGTGTGTGCGCACTTTTTTGGAAATGACTAATATTTGTGCAAAAACCAATGAAGAAATTTTGCCGTTCTAACCAGGTAATAACAACAAACTTTCTCAACCTGCCAACTGAGAACATTGTTACGTTACATCGAAATACGTACTCTGTGCGCAGTAAATCTATGCGTGTGCGTAGCCTCTGAAAGCTGTGTGCGCGCGCACACGCGGACACTTTAGAGGGAACACTGCCCACTGGTGAACCACAAAAATATTTGTGGTGGGCCACAGGCCAATTCTGAATTTCTAGAGTTATTGGCAATATCCATTGGCAAAACATCCCTCGCTGTTAAAATGCATTGTGACGCAACAAGTGTCATTCTATGGTCGGATGGCACTGAACGGGGGATAGAAATAGTAATCGTATCGTCATTTAAAACTTGAAAATCAGTTTGAATGGCAGAACGAAAGTTCATCTGCTGCTATTTGTTTTAAACTTATCTTATTGTTTTTACCATGAAAAATCTATTGGGCCACATATCATCTGTGCAACAAGAAATGGGCCATGAATGACAGTACGGCACACTATATAAATCGGGTGACATTGTCCCATTTCAGAGAAACCCATTTTATAGATGATCAGACAACCCTCCTTTGGGAGACGTCTGGACATTGTTGTCCTTCAATATCGGTAATAATACAGTATAATGAAGTTGCGCAAAATACTACAAAAAAGCGCAATCTAGTAACGTCATCAAATTCCTTGGGAAAAAATAATCCGATTTACCAAAGGAAAAAAAATTTTACCGTAGCATTCGAAAGTTTTCAGCAAAAAACAGCAATTTTGGTCATGTAACGGCCGCGACTAATTTTGATTATTATTGAGATAAGCATGGAGCGATATGAAGCATCTGACCTGGTCCCAGTTGCCCCTCGTTTGTGAGACACATAGAGTGTTTGGTTTATTGAGCCAATTGGAGGGAAATTCTTAGAATTTGGATAGTGTGACGTACTGAATGAAAAAAGGTTGAGAACCATTGGGCTAGCTTATACTCTCAATAAGAAATTTCATAACACTCAACCCCTTTGAAAATTCCTGGCTACTCCCCTGTGAACATACAAATGATAGTTCGTAGTTTGCTTGGAACATATACAAAAATCTTATTTTAGTAGCTCATAGAGTTTAGCATTTAGAAACGTACTAATATGCTAATTTTAGATAATTACTTTTCAAGTAATAAAATGCTCGCAAAAAACATGAAAAACAACAAATAACGACACACTCAGGGTTGTCCAAAACGAATCGAATATTCGAATATATTCGAATATCATAGTATTCGAATACCTTTTCGGCTGATTTTCGAATAATTCCGAATAGTAGCCACTTTTCGCCGTAAACGTGGTGTTTCGTTTTACGGGAATCTTCAAACGACCTTTTACGCTGTCTCACGTATTGTAATGACGATGAAATAGAATCGGCACTTTGATTGTTTATATTCTGTGCGACCGTACGTCGCATAGTGTTGCGACACATTTGCATGTTTGCAAGGGTGGACATTGCCGACATTCGTCTACAAGGCTTTTAATTTACAAATTCATTTCCATCACGTCGAAAAATTGACAATTACCGCTTCTCTAGGCCCAATTTTTCGGCCTGATTTTTTTTTTGGGGGGCGTCTAATTGAGAAAGTATGTTTATTTTATTTCTATGTGGCCTGCTCATTAGTCTTCTCAAGCATGATTTGTGTAACCTTATATTTGGGTCTTAGGGTATGCCAATCATGATATTTAATCGCAGGCCAGTCATCGTTACTTCAAAGAGAAACATGGCCACCGAGTGAAAGTTATTTGTGACTCTTTCGTTTTGCCGATTCAGCAGAACATGACAGGGACAGGAAAACACAGCTGTGAAATAACCCGTGGACATACAGTGTAGTACTTATCACATTTCAAAATTATTTTAACATTCGGGTTAATAGGTTGTCCAAAATGATTGCCGCTTTACAACTTAAATTTACCGCTCAATTGTTAAAAATAGTTAATTCTGTGAGTATGATTCTACCAAACTAACATGATCTGGTTCTAAACTTATAAAATTATCAGCGCATATCACAGGGACACAATTTTTCTACCAGTCTTATTATAGGCCTATATGGAAAAAAATTATTAGCCGGGAAATACGGTATTTATAGCCGTCATTGTTACGATATCCAATAAATTGGCACAAGTTGGAAAAACAAGTCGATTTATTAGAAAATAATTTCTGGCAAATAATTTTGATAACGATAGTTAAAAGTATCGATCCTTTACCAGGATGATTTTTTGTTGCGCAAAATAATCCAATCCATGACTGGTACCAGCATTTGAAATGTCATGTCGTATTAATTTAATTCCGTTCAACGTAACTCATGGTTGTATGGACAATCTGTGGACATAAAATGTGTGGTAAACTGACCGATATTATTAAATATTGATTCCTATTTTCATATTGAGAAAATAATGAAAGTATTAATACCAAATACCACGGGTATTTGTGGACATGAAAACGTGGTAAACTGCCCAATTATATTTAATTTTGGATTCATATTTACAAAATAATAAAACTATTATAATTCTAAAATACAACGGCGATCTGTGGACTTAGAATGTGTGGTAAACTACCCGATTATAAATAGTTTTTGATTCCTATTTTCATATTTATAAAATAATAAAAGTATTATTACTCAAACCTACAACAGGGATCTGCGGACCTAAAATGTGTGGTAAAGTTTCCAAATATATAAAATTTTTGATTCGTATTTTTGTACTCACGAAAAAATTGTCACAAGTCGGAAAAATAACTCATACTTAATCCCGCTTTTTGGCAAATAATTTGGATAATGGTTGATATTTCAAAGTATGGGCGTTTCACTAGGATGATTTTGTGTTGCGCAAATATTCAAATCCATCACCGATAGCACTATTGCCGTATTAATTTAATTCTGTTAACATGACTCAAGGTATATAAAATGTATACTGCAAATATGAAATGCCTGGTGATATAACTAGGTTGTAGATAGCAGTTATTCCATTGCTTATTGTATGGAAATTCCTACATACATTTAGATGAGCTTCAATTAGTGAATTTTATTTTCGAAGTATTCGAAATTTCATATTCGAAAAAAATAATTTCGAATGTATTCGAAATAGTGAACTATTCGGTATTGGCCATCCCTGGACACACTACAATGAAATTGGCAATCTATTTCTTCAATTATTGTGCAGTGTTATATTTTGAGACAGACACACAAATATAGAATATAAAAGTGCGCTGGCAAAATCCACACCCAATGTTAGAGTTAGGATATAACTCAGTGACTGTGCTTTACATTCTCAAAAAAGTGAAAATGTTTTCCAAAAAAAACAAAATATTGCTTTCATGTTAGAAAGATAAGATTAGATAGGAATTCTATGCTTTAAAAAAGACCGAATATACAGATACCATAAGTTACAATATCGATACAACTAATACAGAGGTGAGTTTACGGGTATTTCAGTATTCAGGTTTTTCAGTATTCCTTACAGCGAGCTATCTACCGTACATTTCTGCCTTTACGCATCTGTATATCACGGTATCAGGGGCCCACAAATAGCCATCATCGTACTTTACACTTAACAATGAAAAGCAATAACTTACCATTTTCAATCTGGAATGTTACACAAATAGGATACAAGCAACAATAAATCTCTCCGACGCGTCTTCAGAAAACTATGAAATGACAAGTGAAATCTCCAACCGGCGATGCAGCGTCGTAATCCAGTGATGTGGAACTTTTCTTTGCCACATTTTGCGTGTGACGTCATTTAACTTCCTGGTTCACGCCCTCGTGTTAAAAAAATAAGCAAGCGACCTTCTAAAACACGACGATCGTTTTCGCGATTAGGTGTTTTGCTTTTCATGATGCGTAAGGTGATCATTAAAATTATTATCAGCGACATCAAGAAAATTTATTTTGACAAATTCATTTCACACAAATAATCATATAATGAAGTACTTTCGTGTCGCATTTCAAATCTCACTTTCCCGAATATCCTTGTGTTGCAGGTCGTCATTTTTTGTATCACGGTACAGTTCTAAAGATATTTATATTTATTTAATTGGTTTCCCTTACTCGCAGGTTAAATATAAATAATCCGATTTAAATATACAAAATAAGTTGTGGAGTGTAAACATGAATATGACTCGACTTGAACAATGAAAGCTCAAATGAGGTTTTAAACACGTAGAATATCGTGGGCCAGCACACAACATAATTAAGGAACCTGAATATTTAACCTATATAGAAAAAAGTCGTACGTCGGCTCAATGAGCATATGCTCATTGGTCGGCTTAAAATTATGACAACTACACACGAATGCATCATATCACCCCGCGACTGGCGCACCGCACCGTATTTGGTGTCAAGATTATGCTTGGCATCGCACAGATAGGTAACAATGTCGCATCCGCAGGTTTCAATAACTCGCGGGAAAAATATTTGCGAAAGGGCACCGTCGTAGAAAAAACTATAGTGAAAGACACCCAACTATAGAATCAGCCGGTTCAGATAAAAAAATTTAAATGAATGTTAGCATCCATGATGTGTGTACATACTAATCTTTCACTTTGACAAGCATATTCAAAAATTATTAAGAAGAATTGTAACTAAAATTTTTTTTATTTCAACCTATACGAGAAACATTTTTTGCACAAAAAAATCAGAGATAATTCAGAAGCCATATATCTATGAAAAAGTAAATATTGAGCAAATTTCTTGTTCAATTCGTCAGTTTAATCTGAATTGAATGAAACATTAGGGCATAACTACTGATGATCTGCTATTTCACATTTCTCTGACATCTGCACGTCCTTTTCATTGTTAGGGCATGATTTTCAGAGTTATCAGGGCGATAAGGCGGCTTTTTCGAACGACGAATTTTGACCTCTTGTTCCGCTACTAGTATATGGAAATAGTTAGCTAGTTAAAAAGTTCCAAATGCGTGGAATTTTGCACTGATAGAGGAAGCCATAACTATTGAACCATACTAGTAGGAAAGGCTTACCCACGTCTGGGTAATCAGAGATGCTATGACCAAAATGCATTATTCTTAATCTAAGCACTGCGTGCCCACAGTACAGCCACTACAACATCTGATACCTTTGTCGATAACCAATTTTGCACTATTAAAAAGTTCGCTATTTTTTATTAATCAATCAATCATTTATTTCGGTACTCTGACATAAAAACAAAACAGCACAAAAAGTATACGGACAAACAAAATGCAGAGATACCTGGAATCCCATATTAAAACAAATAATCGATTTACTTTTCTCGTTGATTTATTTTGATAGGTACTTAAAATTGTATGTGAAAAAATCGTGGGAAAAGAACATTGCCCGAGATGCCAATAGAAATCGTAAAATGGTGCGCTCCGGATGTATTCGTACCAAGATGACGCATATCCTGAATACTCATAACCCGGTACACATATTATGTTCAGGTTGTGCGTCATCTAGGTACGAATACTTCGGTAGCACCGTAAAACAGTATAAAAATAAAAGCTTCATATGAAACGCGGCCATATTCGTCTGTTAACAAATTAAACTATTCAGAATTTTCATCGTGTAAGAAGTAAGAAAAAATTTGCTTTGATTCTATTTATCCTAAAAAGGATTCTTGCATACGAGAAAGTTTTTGTTATCAAAATCTGGTTCTTAAATGGAGTGGAGAGAAGTCAAATTCTTTTATAAACGGAGTTCATTAATTTCCCCGACTCCACCAGCCCTGATAGTAATTCCAATGTGTCGGACAATATTATCTAATTATCAGTATCCCATGGTGATAAAACTATCATGAACACAGACATTGATACACGAGTATTCACGTCTTCATTGCATCTGTCTTCAGCGTATGACCCACGCTTCATTTTGTTTACCCTAATATCAAACGATGAGGCTCCCTTTGGGGAAGAAGAATGATTAAATTCCCTGAAAGCAGGAATCGACATACAGAAATCCCTCAAAGCCGCCAAAGTTAGAGGAACTTGGAATTCAATGTCATCAATTCGGGTTTTATTCATAACATTGATTTCATCAAAAATCCCCCAATAGCGGTCACAGTATTCTCCATATGGATTTTTCGTATCAAGTACATATTTATAAAGAGGTGAAATAAAACATTCCAAAAAGATTTCTGTCCCGACACAGACCCTTACCCGTCGTTTCAAGAAGAATTTTACTAAATTCGCATCCATATATCACGACTAATCCATGAGTTTTCAAAACTGTCTCACATTGAAAGAGGAACTGATTTATACCGGTACCGAGATCTTGCGGAACCGGTAAAGAAGTGCATACAATGAGATCCACACTATTGGCATTCGTAGATTGAAGAGTTCTGCTAAATATAGTCTCATAGCAGATTTTTCGGATGTACTTTTAGAATTCGTTTCACCTGCGTCATCATTGCCGGATCCTATTTCCACAATCTTTTCGAAGTATTTTTTAAACAATGCCCGTTTTTTTTAATTCCACGCCCAATAACTATCATTGTATCGAACGGTTTTCCTTCTGACATCTTAGTTATCGACTTTCCAAGTAGCTTTTTTATCAGGCATTCTGCTGCTTGTTCCGGCAAGTCTGTAATTGCTTGATAGTCGCCTTTTCCATCTATTTTTGCGTTAAAAATTTCGACGTCCATTTATCCCAAAATATACCAGTTGACAGGCAAATAGCCGACTTGTTAAAAATAGTGCTGCGAAGTTCGAAGGCTTCTTACGAAACGCTCAAGTAGGGCGGCAAATTATTGTTGAAAGTAGTAATTATAATTCGGGTCTTGTACAGAATATCAAAGCAAACGCTACCTCCGTGTACCGTAGTCCCTTCCCTCTACACTTACTTAGTGATACACACAGAGCATTGTTGACGAAACAATCCCCCTAGGCATTTCGTCATCCGTTGGAATTTACTGACCGTGCAGTCAATTGATTGAAACAACAATGCGATGGAATGTCAGGAATTGCCCTCATTTCGTGGCAAATCCAGCAATCCCTTGAACTTGGTATGATTGAACTGAAATTATTCAAGTCATTAGTTATCGATCTCGATCGGTAAGTATGTTGACACTTTCGTATGTTACGCGATATCTTACAAAAGTGAGGTTGAATCTGCTCCAAATTTGTCATGTGCATTCATCAGAACCTATTGATTTTGAATAAATTATGTCGTATAATTAGTGAGTTATTAATTAATTAGTGATGGGACACGAGTTGTCGCTATTAAGTCAAAGCGAAGGAATCGAAACCGCAGATCGATAAGTCGGCGGTCTCCAATCGCTATCTGGTTCTAAGAGTAGTCGCTCCTTATGTCAACTCGAAAGTACAATTATTCCCAGTTTGGTGAATCAACGTCTATCTTGCGGCCTTAATTTATGGCAATACAGTATTCATAAACCCCCCTCCTTCTCATGAATAAAACACAGAAATACAGTGCATACAAGAGATTATTATGACATCACAAACTAACCACAATCAACAAACAATTAAGTGCAAATTAATCTAAAAATCAACATCTATGAGGCAATAATCAACAGCGGCTTGGAACAATGATAATAATTCGAAATAAGAAAACGGGTGGCAACTTAGCAAATACGTGGTTGAAGTTTGATATTAATAAAACAGGAAAGGAAATCCGATGAGAAGGCCTGAGAGAGAAAAAACCCAAATATGATGACTTAATCATAGCATTGAATTTTGGGAGCTCCCGAAGTATTGGTGCACAACCTGAACATAGTATGTGTACCAAGTTAGGGTTCAGGTTGTGCCCCATCTTGCTGCGCATACTACAAAAGCGCCGAATTTTGAATCTTGGGAAGAGGAAAGATAAAACAGTTTGACCATATGACAAACCCTGGCTTATCCTCTGGTTAACAGGTCAAGTTAGTCAAGTAATAGTCCAGGATGCTAAAAAGTGTTTGAAGTCGAAATTGTTTTTGGACCGTAACTCGAAGTGTAGTTTGTTTGTTCCGGCCAGGTATGATTCAAAGATAAAACATGCTAGATCAAGAATGATACGATGTTATTCTCTAATTTTCCATTTTCATATAGGGGGCGGGTAGAAGGCATGATACAACACAAATTATTCAAAGGAATAATGTAAAACATGAGATATATCACAATGATAGTTTTTAAAAATTTTACTTTTTCAAAAAATATTTATATCACAAGTTTAAGTAGTACGTATGGAAATTTTAGGAAAGCCGAAAAGACGAGCAAAACATAAGATAGGATTTTAAAAATGTGGAAACAAATTGATCTTGATTTCAAAAATGTACATTTGAAAAATATCACAAGTTCATACCAGAAATAGTACGTATGATAATTTCATGCTTATCTATGTGGTAAGAAGGCAATGTGTTTATGTACTAAAACACAGAATAGTTAATTACAAATGCTCCATCTTATGATGAATTTGAAAAAACAAAGCTCCACGTTAATTTTGTAGGAAGGAAAGGTGGTAAGAGCGCAATATAATCAAACCACAACTGCTCTAGGTTAGATACATGGTTAATTAGCTAGTGATATTGGGATAGGATAAGTTTTATCCCGGGGAAAGATAAGACGGCTTAATCTTATGGGGAACTACGGCCTCTCGTCCGGTTACCAGTCTAGGTCGGGTATGGGATTAGTTAGCCAGTTATTTGTTTTCAGAAGTAGGAGCCTGATTGTTCTCTCCCATGTAACTATTATGAAATTTCCTGATATATAAAATACATTTTCTCTACAGTGAGATGGTGTAGCAATTGCAAATGTCCGTAAATATAAGCAGCATTAGGCAGGAGATATCACAGCTGTAAATATTCATATACAATGTAAATTGATCACACTAGCAAGATTTTTTTGGGGGCAATTTAATTTGTGATGTGGCTTCCAAAATAAATTTTCACGGAAGCAGCGATGTCTAGTATTAAACGAAAACAATTAAAAATATTTACATGAGCTGGGGAAGATGATTAGACACTACGTTATGATTCTAACAATGATCAGAGAAGATTAATTTTGATTTACATCAAGCGACACGTTGTCATGGTTATCGCTATGCCGAACAAAGATTGACTGAAGTTGGAATTTAGAGTTCTATAAAACCACCTTTTCAGAATCGAAATTTTTGAATTAAAATCGGACTTGTCCATTTAAAATCGGACTTGTCCATGTTAGAGCAACCGTATACGAATCATATTCAAATCGAATACCAGAAAAAGGGAGTGGGAGTAAATATGTTTCAAATAGGATTAGAAAAGGTTAAAAAGCAGGCCAGAGCCTTCAATTTCAGTATTTTTTAATGGTCTGGGTATTACTCATTATTGCGATTTTGGGGGTGGTAACCATGACAACGTGTCACGAATTTTGACAAAAAAATTAGCACAATACATAAATCATGATTAAACTAAAAACTACAGAAAATATTTAAATATTTAAAATTAGGAATTGACAGGTAAAATTTAAATTTTGTCACGATTGAATGAATTTGTAAATAGCAGAGCTTAAATACACTCGATATATGAATAGCACAACTACAGATGAATTCACTGACTTACAATAAAATTCAAAACATATCTACTGAATTTTCACAACTGTATGTGCACTGTATCGAATATTATTATAAAATGTTTAATTCTGACCTAATTTGGGTTAAAAAGGGTTGAAAACCATTCAACCGTGTAAGAAATTGCAGGGTTAAAATTAAAATAATGTTTAGTAATAATTCAAGCTTGAAATCACAGGGCTTGAATTTGAAGTTATGTTTAGTAATAATTCAAGCTTGAAAATCACAGGGCTTGAGTTAAAATAATGTTTGTTAATATTTCATGCATGTTGAAAAATTCAGGCCTTGAATTAAAATAATTTCTTTGATTTTTTCATGTGTTCTCTCTTCCATCCCGGCATTTTCTGGAATTCAACCAATGTCATTCCAAAGATTTCCTGAAATTCTGCTTCTTCAAGATGTTCCTGGGAATGGAAGAGAAGGATTATTAGGGAGGAGAGGAAAGTTGATAAGACGGTTTTATCATAGCTGGGGGGAGCTGACTCGGATGACCGTATGGTCGTATCACTCCTCCGAGAAATTTTGCTCGTTGTTGCAACCCTAACCTGGTACACATACTATGTTCAAGTTTGCGCACATCTTGGTATGAATACTTCGGGATCACCTTATTTGATATTGTTGCTCCTTTTTTTGGTTGAAGAAAATGAATCTCTCTCTCTCTCATATGGCGAACCATGACCTCTCGCACAGTTACCAGTCCATCTCGGGTATTGAATTAGTTAACCAGTTATTTGTTTCAGATGCATGGACTTGATGGATACTCAGATATTTATCGCAATTCGAACCTGCGAATCCATGACCCAAATGCATTTCAGTGTGAGGGGAGACGCGATAAACCATATCAAGCAGGTCACCTATGAGGGAGTCCAACAATAAATCATACTGAGGAGGGTATGACTGTATGAAACTGGAGGGTGCGCATGAAATGATATCAGGGGTGCAGAGACAGAGTTTGGCATGTTTTCACTGGAGCCGTTTTTGCAAACTCCCAGGAGTCGACATATAAATTCCCCCGACCTTCAATGGTGATAAAGGAAGTTAAATCTTCTAAAAAACTCAAAAAGCATTAATTCTACTGAACAAAGGAGCCCCGCATTGGCCAAAGTTGAAGTCGATTTTCTCTGAGTTTGAAAATGGTGTAGAAATTTTTAAAACCCAGAGTCGAAGCCCAAATTTCACAAAAACGTCATATTAAAACACCAATCATTACAATAATATTTCACCTCTTTCCTAGCAGGGTCAACATCGGTTGACAGTTCGTCTCCTTTCTTGACCAACTCACTGTACGGGAACTTCTGCAGTGGAGCTCGGTTCTCAACGACCTTCTTTGCAACCTCTGCTTTGACAACTTCGAACCCTGCGTCACTTCCAAGCTCGGCTTTCAGTTCTTCATAGGTTTTGCCATTCTGCAATTTCAGGATTAAATAGTGTTAGATGGGACACACCAGCTTTTCTTATCTTCTGGGAAAGTATACTTCCTGTTTAGTATTGCTAATATTTTTGGTTTATTTTGTTTTACTGTAATATATATATTTATGCACACAATATAAACTATTCAAAATGTAAAAAAGCAAGAGTATGATTTGCGACCAACTCTTGCAGATGAAACATCTAAAATTGAACAATAATACCACCAGTTATTTCCAAATAGTAGCTCCTTACATTTCTAGAACTTTGGGAGGAAGGCCCCGAACCTGCGTCACAAGTCGAGTCACGGGTCTCCAAAGTCGAGTCAAACACACTGGGCTAACTCTCACTCGAGGGTCGGACCCCCACCGTTTGAAATGTGAAACAAGCATTTCTTATAATGGTTTTTAGATCCTAATAACTCTCGAAAACCCATGTTTTCCGGCCAATTCCACTAGCTTATACCTCTAACTTTGCAATAACAAATTTCCGCCCAATTCCTCTAACTGTACCGGCAATACTTACGCTCCACATTTCAATATCCCATGCTGTGAACCATCCTGTGAACGTCGGTGGTTCAAACCCCTGTTTGATTGTGATGATCGGGGTGTCCTTGTCCCTTCCGCAGGGGTCATGGGTCAAGTACTCGATTGCAGTGGCCATTGATGACTCCTTCTCAAGCTTGTTGGCGTTCTTTCCAATCCAGAGATAAATCTGGAACACAAGAAATTTCAAATTGAGAAAAGGAAAAAAATTAAACACATGCGAAGCAAAGAACCAAAGCAAAAACCATGATGAGGCACAAGTCAAGTTTTTTTCCAAACAGTAAAAATCTCAAGCGCACACAAATTTAGAGAAAAAAGTAGGCACAGCACGTAGCCTTCCACATAGGTATAATGGTGAAGTATTGAACAATTGTTTGCTTTGATTTAAACAATGCAAAATTTTTATAATTTAAACAAAAATAATTCCTGTTTTAACAAGGGTTTGCCTTAACTATTATGGTGGCTTAACTATGGTGGTAGCCTATGCAAAATGAATTGCATAATAGAAAATGCAGTTGTCTTTAGATTTTATTACCGGGTATCTCCAGTACAAAAGCATGATTCCCCCCTCCCCTCCTACGGCCCCTCCCACGGCACTCCAGAAGTATGTGCACCAATATGGAGGTAACTAATTTTGTTCGCCTACTTCACATCAAGTTGTTTAAAAGGACTGAAACCAATGGGCAGGGGGAACATTCACTTGGCTAACACAGATAGTCCCCGAACTCGTAATCGAACTAAAAAAATCGGAATAAAATTATGGCCTAACCTCAACCTGGTACATATACTACAGAAGAACCCCTCCCACTCACCTCAGAAAAGGTATCGAGCAGCATGACGTCATCCTCATCCAGATCCTCCTGAGTGAAGTCGAACATCTCGGTGCATTTGAACGTTCCAGTCTGGTTCGAACACTCAAACAATCTTGGGTCGTGGTCTGGATTCTCAACCTGAAATCAAATTGCTAGTTTAGCTCAGCTGTTCTTAAAATTTCTCGATCAGTGGCTCTGTTCAAAGGCTCTCTACACTTGTTCCTCGCTGGTCAACAATAGGATTTACATATTTATCCCAGGGTAAAGGTAAGGCGATAATACACCTCTATAAGGATATCTCTCATTTTTTATTATTATTCTATTTTTCTATTCGGGAATATATAGAACGTTCGTTACCTGCAGGGCTTTAACACTTGCATACTCTCCTCTGCCACCTACTGCATCCCAGAATGTATTGTCCTCATGACCTTCTGGCACGGTTTCAAGTTCCCTGGAAACAATAATGCAGGGCTTAAATTGAGCAGTAATTTGTATTTGAATGGCTTGGTGGTTGCCATGGTAGACATGACTATGCAAAAGATTTTGAAAGCTAGCCTTCATCACAAACACCAATAGGCCCATATCTAAATGGACCAGTGGTTATCAACCTGTGGTACGCGGGGGATTTTTTAAATGGTACGCGAGAAGCTTTGAATTATTGCAACAACCAACTTCTGAGGGGGCTGAAATATGGCAGAAACGCTTTCTCTTCCATTACTGAATGTATTCGCTGAATAGTTTATAGCGTTACCAGTCCTTCTCTTTATAGAGCGCTCTCGCCCGCTACTGCCCACCTAAAAAAAAAACGAGACGGGCATATTTTCGCCCGTTTACATCCACAATGCATTTGCATTGAGAGTATCAGCAACGAAGGGAGCGTTCAAACTTCGGAGGGGTGGTCGATGCGTGTCGAGATACCCTGATATCTTAGGATGTTACCATTATTACCTGATGTATGTGTTGGTTGATCGGCATAATCTTGACTTTTGAGGTCAAATAATTTGAAGACTAGGTTAAGCAGTTCCGGATAGCGGCTAGCGCCGACGTGGCTAGCGTATTTGTCCGAGTTTTGCGATAATTCAGTGTTGGCCATGATTAGAGCCTTTCAGCTCTTACGATAGACAACGCAAATTTTCTCGTGATTTTGCACGCAATCAATACGTTGTTAGTGCATATAATTAATACGTTGAAACTTTGCACGAAACTCTTAAAAAATGGATGTAGTGCCACATATATACTACCATACAGCGTTTCTTGTGCCATTGTTTCCCGCCACAAAAGCGGTTTTTTCGGGGCCATGGTAAAAAACCCAAAAGTGGTACGCGGTCAGTAAAAGGTTGAAAACCACTGAAATAGATGAATGTTGTGATTATTAAAAATAAACCAAGTACAGTCAAATCAGACCTTGGAAGTGGGTTCTTAGGCAACTATGCAAGCAATGCACAATATCTTTCCATATGTTTCCTATTCGAGTTGCAATCAAGAAAAACACTTTGAAAAAAAAAACTGATGTATAGATATACTCATTCTGCTTGAGTATGACTGAGGAGAAACCCTCCAATACCCACCACTCACTGAGTGCAGTAGTGAGTATGTCTCTCTCACATGTCAGTATTTGTTTGTACAGACCATTTTTCAGAGTGAAATCGTGTGAAAAACAATCAAAACATCTGACATATACTCATATATACACCCACTCAACTTGAGTATGATTAAGAAAAAATACCCATATTACTCACCTCTTACCGAGTGCACCAGCAAGTAATCTTGCCATCTCTCTCTCATCCCCACTGGCTCCTTTCCCAGACCACATGAACATGTTTTGAGGAGCCACCAACACAAACACATCGTTGGAGTTGAGAGATCCAGCCCTGTGGAGAGAAATAATAGTTTAAGTGATTTTTCCAGAAATTAGAAAGTTCGGGCACTCACTCAGAAATAAAGGAGACTCATCTCTCAGCAAAGTTACGGGCACTCACTCAGAAATAAAGGAGACTCATCTCTGGGCAAAGTTACGGGCACTCACTCGGAAGTAAAGGAGACTCATCTCTGGGCAAAGTTACGGGCGCCCACTCAGAAATAAAGGAGACTCATCTCTGAGCAAAGTTACAGGCACTCACTCAAAAGTACAGAAGACTCATGTAAATGCTAAAAATAGCTCAAGGAATTTGTTGAGCTTGCGGTTAAATTTAGTTTTGGCACGAGTCGTATTGTTTTCCACCTTTGCTTTGTAATACTGTTAATATTGTTCATAAATAGTAATTTTCTACGTCACATTTTCATGGCCCGCCAGTCTTAAGTGGGCAAAATTTTTGGCCCCTGATTTAAGAACCGTGCCCACCCCTGCTCTAGCTGTTACATTCAAATTTGGCAATAAAATATTTAAACCCCCCCTTTGAAAATTCCTGGCTATGACCCTGATTTTAGATTCATTGAAAATCATCAGAAAGCCTAACAATATTGGAATCACAACATACTTGGCAGCGACTTCAATAGCTTTTGTGTCGAATTTTGTTTTCCCATGAACTTGGAATAGTCTGACATCTGCTGCTTTACTTTGCCCTCCTGCACGAGAAGTTCCACCCTGTGATGAAATAGTAAAATAGTGAATTAAGATTAGAATCTGCGACCAATGTAGATGACAAAGTGTTTTACAATTTCCAAAATATTTTAGGGGAAGAAATTTTACTTTCTATTAGATCGAGGTGCGCAACATTTTTTGTCAGTGGGCCAGAAAACTAACTTCGGCACTCTGGGAGTAAGTGTATCAATATGGAGGTAACTAATTTTGTTCGCCTATTTTACATCAAGTTGTATGAAGGGACTGAAACCTATGGGCAGGGGGTACATTCACTTGGCTAACACAGAGAGTCCACGAACTCGTAATAGAACTAAAAGAAGGAAAATCTGAATAAAATTATGGCCTAACTCTAACCTGGTACACATACTACGGGAGTACGTCAACTTTAGACATCCAGCTGGGCCACACAAAAAATTAGTTTGTCCATGTGCACAACAGATAAAAAATAAGCGACAACCAGAGCGTAGCGAGAAAGCCAAGAGAAGAGAATGCAGCTACCACTTAGACTTTCCGTAATAAAGGCACCAAGCATAAACAGCAAAAGATTTAACACAGCGACGAGAGCAAAAATGAATATGAACTTTTACCCACGATAGGACGACTTAATCATATGGCAAACCACGGTCTCTCGTCCGGTTACCAATCCATGTCGGGTATGGGATTAGTTGCTAGTTATTTGTTTTCGGATGCATGGACTTGATGGTGGAGGAAGTTGTAATCGACCAGCGGTTACGTGATCCACCCTACGGCGGTGAGGAGTCCAGCAATCCTCTCGCACGTAATCATCCTCGCATAGGATTCGAAATTGCCAACCAACGTAGGGTAATCAGAGATTCGGTGGTGAGCAAATTCCTAATGCTTAGCACAATGTGACACACGGCAGAGGATTAAAATGAAACCCCACCTCATATATGATAACTTTTCCTTTGAACATTGCCAAGAAATGTCTCGGTTCCTTTCCCATGGTGACTCGGACCTGTGTTGGTTCATCATCGTAGATCCTGTCCAATGCCGCTGCCTGGAAAGCACAGGCTGTGATCTCATCTTGGGTGGCATGGCGACCCTGAGAAAAATAAAAAACAAAATGTTTTATTTTGGCTCTTCATACAAACAAGAAAAAAGCTGTATTGACCCAGGGTGCAAGTACACCCCTACACCCACAGCCCTAGTATAACCCTCCAGGTCCCCCCATTGGTTACACAATAATTATGTGGCGTCAAACATCGTATAATGCGTAGATAATTATAAGTGAATAAAGCGCCTGATAGAAGAATGTTTGTCATTTATCTTATAGGAAGACCATACATGGCCCTCCTTGGTCCATTACAATCTATGCGGCCACAGTGGGTCCCGTACTTCCATAGGCTAATTAATGGATTTAATCATATATAGGCCAGCTAGTTATCGGTAAATATGAGAAATTCCTGATCATTACATGATTTACATGTTTATCCCAGGGTAGAGGAAAGCCGACGAAATGGCTTAATCATATAGCAAACCACGGCCTCTCATCTGGCCATCAGTCCATGTTGGGCATGGGATTAGTTAGCCAGGTATTTGTTCCAGATACATGGATTTGATTTTGTCGTATTCAGTTGAAAGGTAATAAAATATGAACCAAAGTCATTTTTTATTACAAAATCTTTAATCCTATGACCGCATAACGAATCCTTACCAGCCAATAATAGATGATTCTTCTTTCTCTATTGTTATGCATGTAAGTATACAGTATGATGTAACAATCGCCACCATAGAATTGTCCGTAGGTTGATTTATCTACAGGAGCCAGTTCACTCTTCTCAATTCTCCAAACCTGGAAGATTTTAAATATATTTAAATATGTTTCAAAAAAAGGGGCTTGCATGATAGCTATACAAGGAATATGGGCCCTAGTGTGCCCCAAGTTCAACGTCATCGAGAAATTTCTGGACGCTCCCGTAGTATGTGAACCAAGATGGCGGACGCCGGACCGTAGTATGTGTACCAGGTTAGAGTTGGGACATACATGTATTCCAATTTTCCTTATTTTAGTTCTATTACGAGCTCAAGGACTAGCCAAGTGACTCCCGTAGTATTTGTACCTGATATTATGGCCTAACCCTAACTATGTTCCAGTGTCTGCCATCTTGGTTCACATATTACATATGTACCAATTGCTGCCTGTAAGACCTCACTTGCCCCTTTAGACACATTAGGCGTATGGCCTATAATTTCACTGGGCCCATAAAGTGGACACGAAGGCCCGAACGAAGCAGAGCAGGAATGCAATCTGTCACAATAAACTACCGGTACAAAAATCTTCATGACTAACAAGTAAGCAGAATCGCACCATGGTGCGCAATTTTTGATGACGTCATCGCACACAACAGAAAAAATCCCGTAGACCCAAATGAAATTTTTGAAATAAATACAATCTTTCACTACTGAAAATTTCAAAGCAATTGGTTCAATAGTTAATGAGAAAAGCGATTTTTTTATGACGATAAAAAGAAAAATACCAACAAAAACATAATAACAAAACGATCCTTATGTACATGTTGTGTCCAAAAAGCTACCCCTCAAAACCTTTATTGCCCACACAATTTCATCAGATCAAAGCTCACCCACCTATCCTATTTAATGATCCCCGTTCACCACCAAATAAACCAGCCCATTGATGTAGGATACTAAGCCTATAGTCTTTCCACTACATAACATTCAAAAACTATCCAAACGAACATCACCAGTTCTCTGCTTATCGAAGAGACTATCAGACAACCCCCCCCCCCCCCGAAACCTTTATTGCGCAACTCAATTTCATCACATCAAAGCTTGCCCATCTATCCCATTTATGAATCCCCGATCCCCACCAATGTTTCCACTACATACCATTTAAAAAATTATTCAAACGAACATCACCAGGTTTTGCTTATCTAACTGACGATTAGACAACAATAAATTTATTAATCCCACTGACTTTTATCGATCCCCAATAATACAAATTCCAATCTTATTTTACCAGCCCCCAGCCCATTACATCACAAAGTTGCCTATTTATACCAGTCTGAAAACCAGGACCAAGCACAACCCGACAAAGCACTCACATTGCAGCATCGTGACATTATATGGTTGACCATACAAACGAGTCGCAGCGTGGACTGAACTATTTTCACCAAAGATACAAAATTTTAAAAATTACTGTCGTCCGTTATAGTCAAAGAAATATATTTTGACACCCTTGAGATTATTCGTTAATCAAGATAGGGCTATTCGCATTCTTTATTATGACGTTGCAATTTTTTTCAAATATAGTCAGGTGAAAATATGAGGAAATGATGAAATACCCTAAAACTGTAAAAGTCATTTATTAAAAGGAAATCTTCACATATCCAAAGCGGGGCCAATGATCTAAAATAAAGAATTAGTTGCGTCCGAATCAAACACTCAAAAGGTCCGGTTCCGGATTGTCTGTTGAGTAGCCCTGCTCTAGTCCCTGCTAGTAAGATCGATTCTAGGAAAATTCCCTGTAGGAAATCTCGGCACAGAAAATTTTTCCGCATAGGAAAATTCGCCGCAAGAAAAAGTACCTTTTTATTTAAAAAGGATCTGTTATTCAGTAGCGTAGACTACAATAACCCTAACCCTGTAAACCTAACTGTTTTTATTATAAATACTTGTTTGACAGCATAATGTGCTTGCAGCGATTTTTTATGCAGCGAATTTTCCTATGCGCCGAGATTTCCTGCAGCAGGATGTTCTACGGCAAATTTCCTTGTGCTAGATTTCCTGCGGCTAAATTACCTGTGGCAAATTTTCATGCCTGTGGCAAATTTTCATGAATTTTCCTATGCGGCGAAATTTCCTGTGGCGAATTTTCCGGACCCGAGTGAGATCACCCACATAAACCATTCAACTCACCTCAATTTCACCGGAACCATCATCCGGCATTCTCTCATTCGCTGCTACTTTAGGTTGATTGTGCATTGTGCTGGCATCGAACTTCTTGTTCTCAATGTGGGCTGGAAAAAGAAAAATTGAGTCCAAATATTTTCAGTTTACTTCGAAGACACCAAGCTAAGTACGTAAACAAATTAAATAAAGCTCTGTTCTTACAAGAGCAACCCATGTTGGCAAAAAAGATCTCAGGCTGGAGTACTCATGCCCAACAATTCACTCAGGGTGTGATAATTTGGACAGGCAAAGCCATAAAGAAAAGGTGCCGGTGCCGATTATTGATTTAATAAAGTAGATCTTTAAATATCAAAACCTGCTCATCTAGAGTAGTGATCAGCAATTTGCATCTCATTGTTTTTTGAGCTATGGCTCCCGTAAATCAAAGTGGTTAAAACAGTTTTTAGACGCAGTGAAGATTCAATGAAAGGTGTGGGACAAAGTGCGAGTCGCGAACTGTGAAAATGAGTCGCATTACAGTGATTCGAGTCTGTCAAAACTTTTTTTTTCATTTAATAAGTTGATTTCATTTAGTCATGGACTGAATTATTGATACGACTTCTTCTTAGTAAAAACTAACTTATTGCATCATAGGCGGTTTTACGGGGGTTTCAATAGCGACTGATAATAGAGTAAATGTTGCGACTCCGAGTAGGTTTGGAGTTGATGGGAAGAATGCCAAATTTCTCTTTCAATGCTGAAAGCCGACCCGCGATCTAAAGCAAAATTTTAAAATATGCCGCACATCTCACCCAGAATGTGACAAATTGGACAGGCAATGGCGAACTAAAAAGATCAGATTCTTCCAAACTTAATAACTCAGTAGGTATTAATGGATACGTACCAAGAGCCTTATTCAGAGGAAAGTGCAGGAAAAGCCCCCCAGCCCAAAATACTCACCGATACTCCCTCTAGTGTGCAGTTTCCCTTTCCCAATGACGTCAGTTTTATCTCTCCAATCTTTAAACAACTGTTTGAACATCGCAGATTCCGCTCCGTCGTTGACAGTTTCTATCTGAGTGCTGGCAGGGTATCCCTTTGCTTTGATGTAACCCTGGAAAAGATTGGCAGAATAAATATAACCATGGTTAATAGTAATTTATTCTGACTAGTTACACTCCAATGCTCAATCCGGCTTTAGTATTTTAATGTGTACCGGTAAGTTTATTTTAACTCCATTATCAGCATAAAAGACAATAAAATAATTGATCCAAACAAAATAAATAAAACCAATTACAGAATCAGGAAAGCGAACAAAGGTTCGAAGCGTACAGATTTTAATTGGATTGATAATACAGATTTATTACAGATTGGAAAGTGTTGTTAATAGAAGTAATAAAATAGTGATATAATGCTGTCTAGTTACACTACACTGCTTTGTTTAATAACGGCCCCTAACTTACCATAGCTCTGGTCATTGATCCTGATTTTTCCTCTCTCGTTGCTTTTTTGCCTTTCCAGACGTAAACCTTGCTTCCGCCATGGTCAAGAATATAGCAGTCCTATAGAAATAAAACTCAGTGTCAGCAAAATGATGGCTGGGTTAACTATATTTAAGATTTTTGACAATCATAGCCAGTGGACAGAGCATTTTGACATCAAATGCTCAGAAGTCAAAGTTTGGCAAATGGACACTGCTATGATGGAATGGGATTGAAGAGATTCTCTCATTTCGTTAAAAGTATTGCACGATTCTGTTGGTGTTCACTCTTTTGTGTGCTTGTGTATATGTTTTTTGGTGGGTGGATGCATACTTATACGTTTTTTAACTTTATTTTAAGTTATGCTCGCCTTCCAGATGCATTTTATTTATCTGTTTACTTTGTGTTGTTCATCTCAGAGAACCGAAATAAAATGATTGATTGATGCTTGAGTGATAGATAACCATTGATATAACTAGAGTGTTCTTAGCATTCAGCACAATGTATGAGCATCAATGCAAGTGTATCAATAGACGCACAGCTGAAGTGCAATTCCAGCAAAATTTAAGTTCAATGATAGAAAAAATTTAACTGAATGTCATAAAAGGGCATGTCATAATAATCTGCCACAGTATTTGAATCTGCGAAGCCATGAAGGGTAATCAGTTGTGCGTTGGCAAGGGTAATCCCAACGCTTAACACGATGCACCACACCGTCGAGTCTATTCCGATTTTTACGTTTCGACTTTATTAACAAAAACCTCACCTCATGTTGCAGTAGGGATTGGCTCAAAGGTTTGGTTGCCACTTCCTGAACCATTAGCTGGCCTGACTGATCGGATACACTGAAAAAGAAAAGAATAAAGTTTGATACGGCAAAATATCCATACAAAATGAATAAAGACATTCTGCCAGCTTTGCATAAAAGTACTGCCTGATTAATTTCATTTATATATATTTTATGGCATGTTTATATATTAGAGAATAATTTTTTACCATTTATGCTCAAAACAATGCTTGAATACATTATTCAGAATGTGAATATGCCTGGTACAAAATATTCTGTATATTTCTATTCCCATATGGACATCTAAGCCATATTTGTTTATCAAATTCTCCTAAATATATTTGTGAGAAAATAATTCGAATTTCTCTCACATTGTGGTTCTATTGTTTGTCATTATTTGTCTATCTACACCCTCCATGACATAATAATGGTGCCAATTATTCTCATTCATCTTTTCATTCATAAGTAACAATGGGCAGAATATTTTAACTCTTTGATAATAATAATTTGAAGATGAATAGCTCAGAAATATCCAAAATGAACGACATTTTTCAGAAGAATTTTCCCAAAGCAATGTCATGTACAGCAAACCCAATCAGAAGTAAAACTGACTCTGATTAAAGTTACAATCTATTAGCTACCAATGAAATTTCACGAAAACTGAGACCCAATTTTATTAGATTTACAATATTTATAAAAAATGTTGCTAATGCAGAGCCAGAGTTCAAAGAGAAAAAACCATAGTAACTGGTCAACCAATTTTTAGAATCACAAATTGATTTTAAATATATAATCCAAATAAACACACACTGCACCATCACACGCTGAGGGCAAGGGGTTAATCACCTCCCAAGCATCGCTACCGACCTGGCGTATGTAATTTACACAATAATACGTTAATGATTAACGTATACCAGGGTATAAAAGCATTCAGTGCCGGGAATGTTAAATATAGAAACGACTGCTGAGCAGGGGATCATGTTTGCTTATGAAATGACAAATTGGCTTTTTAGGTTATGTGCTTACGGTTGTCTAATATGTATAAAATTTAACATTACCAGAATTTATACAGGGTGTCCACAAAGTCCTTTTACAATTTCAATTTTGTTATGAAGTCAGTTCTCGATATATCTTAACCAAGTTTATTGTTTTTTAATCAGTAATTGTTCAAGTATTTTTAATTCATTTAATACGTCTGTGAGGGCCAAAACAATATATGATTTCGATGAATTCCCTTTGCCATTTTAAAAATTTTACTAAAGACTTTATGGACACCCTATATTTAACATAATAAACTCTTGATTTGGGAAATATTTAGAAATATTGTCGTTCAAAAACTTGTCAATTTTCAAGCAAAATAATTGACATTGAATAGGTTAATTTAATAAAACATTTTATAGTTGAGAATATCTGTAATAAATTAAAAATTTGAAATATTTTAGGATAAATTTAGGACAAAAACAATTTAGGATAGTGTCATTTTGAATTATTTCACTTGAGCAGTTCGAATCTGAAGACCAGACAAACTTTATTTAAACCTAATATTGTTAAAAACAATATTGAAAACACGGCCATAGTAAAATGACAAATTGGCTTCATGTGCTTGTATGATCAGGGATGTCCAAAGTAACTATACTCTAACTAAGTGGTTGTCAAACCTTTTACAGTGTTTCTCAAAAAATTGTCTACGCCTCCCTTGTTGGGAGCGCTTGAGAACCACTGCTTATAAGTCGAGTCAAGTTTATCTTTTCCAATCAGTGAGAAAAAATATCATTTAAATACAAATTACGAGAAATTGATAATTACACAGTTTTACTGGGAAAGGGAAGTCGAGGAGAACCAAAGCAGGCTATCAAGCAGCGACACCCAAGGTTCAAATATCTAATTTTAAAAATTCATAGAAGATTGGTTTTATTCATCAACCATGGAAATTCTTAATTTTTAGAATAATTTAGAGTGTTTCATTCAAAAGTTTGTCATTTTAGATAAAAAAATTTGAAACTAATTGGTGTGTTACATGAGTAAAATTGGGTACATTCTTCAGGTATTCCAAGAATTACCTAACATTTGACAAAAAAACATGAATATGCTTCTTATCTTCTATGTACCTCACTCAGGGTTGTCAGTAATGAATTAAATATTGAAAATTTTTATTTTTTCTAATTTGGCCTAATTTGGATCAGTGCTGATGCCTTTCAGACGTAAGTCTTATGGCAAGAATTCATCAAAAATATTTATCCATCAATTTTCATTAATAAACCTTCATTCTTTCCAAGTAAAAAATCTTACTTGAAAAGTTTGATGTTTCCCAATTTTGCTCGAGACACGACATCATCGGGTGTGGCAGGTTTTAACTGTTTTTTCTTTCCAAGCAATTGTTCCATTCCCTGCATTGTTAGATAACAAAAGGTGTTATTGTGAGATCACTAAACAAACAATATTAACAATGCGGTTAACATTTCTCACAGACAACATATGCTAACAGGAATGCTGAAACCAAATAAATTTCTATCCAAAATATCTTTTAAATATTATTGAATCAAAAATATTGAATATATTCTAAATTGAACCAATATACACAAATTTGCAAAAACCATTGTTGAGATTAAAAACGTTCAAATTTCCCGAATGACATATTCATGAACTCAAAAATTATCAAAGAATATCGCAATATATGGAAAATAAACAGGTCAAATCTACAGTGGAACTAAATAATCCAGACACATTCGAAATATCTAAAACATATTTTTGAAAATTTAATTTTGGGAATTTAATTTGGGCTACTTATCAACAGAGACATTTGCACAAATAATTGTATATTCATGGCTTTAAAAGTTTTATGATATAATAATCATTTCATACCTCAAAACTCAAATTTAAAAATTTAGTATGTTTTTATTGGAAATTTTTTTTTAAATGTCTAAAGAACAATTTTGTTTCAATTTTCCCAGATTGCCTGATGAGATTTCCATGTCACCTATGGTATCTGATTTTTCAGGAGAATATGCACAAAAACAGGCCTCACTGAGAAGAACCATTTTTGAGCAAAGTTACCGGCGAACAACCATCAGCTATTGAAACTACACACAATTATGGTTGTACATAAAGTACATTCACTCAGAAGTAAAGGAGAATCATCTCTGAGAAAAGTTATGAGAGAGCACTGGAAACTACTCAAACTATATAGAATTATGATGATGCCAGTAAATGTCAATTGGTGAGAGACTTGAAACAGTTATCAGCCAACTATTCGGTTTCAACAGTATCTAATCCCTAAGTGTGGATTTCATGTCAAGCCTAATATATCACAATATCAGATTATCGCCAAATAAAACAATTTGATCTGAGCTTTTGAATTATTGATGAAGGCCTGTATTATGTAGAGATATAGAATGAAGTTATATGGGATTTATAATAATCCCAGGGAAGATGAAAGCTGATGAAACGGTCTAAGAATATGGTAGAATTTTTACATTTATCAAAGGGAGAGGAAAGTCGATAAGACGACTCAATCATATAACAGACGTGGACATAGTCCAGTTACCATTCCAGGTCGAGTTTTGGAATAATTGACCAGTTTTTCGATTCAGATGCTAATTACATTCTATATACAGAAATCTAACTAAGCCACCACCAAAGTCTGGTCTTATTCATAGGAAAGTCGTAAAACATCTCACAAAAATAATATTCAAGCTGTCTTATCAATTTTCACTCCTTGCAGACACAACAGCCTAGAGGAGTGCATAGTAGATCTTTATAAATCAACAGCTGTGCATACAAAGCCTTGTTCAAAGTCAACACCTAATACAAAGGTGAGCAACCTTGAATACAGACATTAATTGTAAATTGGACCCAGGTATACCCTTTGCAATGCAAAGGGATTGGAATTGCTCTTCAGATGATATTGGATTAAAAACTTGTTTCGTGGGCCGCACACCACTTTAAATAAGCACTTCTCCACGGGCGCACAATTTTTTTTTTGTTGGCCACATTTGTCCCCCTGGCTGCTTCCCCCCTGACCTAATAGAAGTATAACATCCAAGCTGTCGTATCAGCATTTCTCTTCCCCCCCAAAAAAAAAAATAATTACAAAATTCTCACCTCAAACAGCTTAGGAGTGCTTTTCTCTTCGCTTCCTTCAATGATGAAAACCTGGCCACGACCTCCTCGCTCACGACTGTTGATGTCTTTAGCCAGTTGCATTGCCTGAACAAATGATTGATGATAACAAGGGCAAAGCATGATTAGGAACTTGGGATTAGGTAAACACTATAAGTAAATTAAAAACTGCTATTTATCCCGTTTTTGTTGGACTTCCCAAAGGGTGCCGTCACTCTATACGCCTCTCCTGTCACCCTGAAATGCGACTTTTTATATTTTCTCCAATTTGTGCATGTATATTGCGCATTTTAAAACTTTTACTTGGTGAAAAAACAAATTGCTGATTACTGCATGCAAAATTTGAGCGAAAAAATTTCATTTGAAAATATAAAAAAGAAATCAGTGCTCTTTGGATTGGTTTTCTAGTTATAGCTTAAATCAATATTCAAAGTGTTACAATAAAGAGGTTTGAATACCGACTATGTGAACAAAATATAGAATCACAAAGAGACATGACAATCAAATTACAGCACACTTTTAACTTTATAGAAAATTTGCTAGCACCCCCCTTTTCCCCCCAAAAAAAGAAAAAAATTACCTTTATTCTTTCCATCCTGTTACTCTCCGGTCCGTTCCACTGCAGAATATATTTTCCGAGATCAAGAATGAAAACATCCCCAACGTTCATTGAGTCCCAACTCAGATCGACTTCCGTTGCGACAACATTCTTCTTGCCCTGGAAATAAGATATTGAGATTAGGAAGATGAACATGAATTGAGATGGTAACATGAACATGAATAAGGCTCTAAACAAGTCAATGATACATGACAGCCAGGGCAGGCTTTGTGGGTTGAAACCCCCCCTGCCCTTTGAAATGTACAAAAAAACATTTTTCTTTACTCTTGGAAACCTATGTTTTTCGGCCTCTGACCGGACTGGTAAGCGCGAGTTTCCAAGAGTGTTGAGTGTCTAGAAAGCGTTTCAAGGATAGGATAGGATAGGATTTACATGTTTATCCCGGGGGAGAGAAAAGCCGATAAGACGGCTTAATCATATGGCGAACACAGCCTCTCGTCCGGTAACCAGTCCATGTCAGGTATGGGATTAGTTAGCCAGTTATTTGTTTTCGGAAGCATGGACTTGATGGTGGAGGAAGCCGTAACCAACCAGCGGTTACCTGAACCACCCTACGGCGAAGCAATCCTCTCGCACATGATCATCCCCGCATGGGATTCGAACCTGCGATCCCACTAAGGGTAATCAGAGATGCGGTGGCGGTCAATCCCCCTGGCTAAGAGGGCCAATTGAGAAACTATGGCATCACGCCCCCTAAACTAACCCATGTTTTGTATATTGAATACACCATAGCACTCACCTTCACATGCAAAAGCCGTCTGACATCGTATTTATTTGTTTCAACATGGTTAAATCCTGATGCAACTCCTCCTTTCTGGTAACTGAAAAAATAAATCAGGAGAATTAATATTCACATCCAATTAGAAACCAGAGTGTCTGAAATTGTAACTTTGGTGACAAGAAAAGTTACAAAATTGAATTTGTGTCCATATGCAATGATCTTGCATCAAACAGTCTTTCCTAATGCATTAATCCTTCACTAAATTCTTAGTAGTCTCAGTGCCTCTTGGCATGTCAGTGGGTGCCCGTAACTTTGCTCAGAGATGAGTCTGCTTTACTTTTGAGTGAGTGCCCATGACTTTGCTCAGAGATGAGTCTCCTTTACTTTTGAGTGAGTGCCCATGACTTTGCTCAGAGATGAGTCTCCTTTAATTCTGAGTGAGTGCCCATGACTTTGCTCAGAGATGAGTCTCTTTTACTTCTGAGTGAGTGCCCGTAACTTTGCTCAGAGATGAGTCTTCTTTGCTTACGAGTGAGTGCCTGTAACTTTGCTCAGAGATAAGTCTTCTTTGCTTATGAGTGAGTGCCCGTAACTTTGCTCAGAGATAAGTCTCCTTTATATCTGAGTGAGTGCCCGTAACTTTGCTCAGAGATGAGTCTTCTTTACTTCTGAGTGAGGAGTGTCCATAACTTTGCTCAGAGATAAGTCTCCTTCATATCTGAGTGAGTGCCCGTAACTTTGCTCAGAGATGAGTCTTCTTTGCTTATGAGTGAGTGCCCGTAACTTTGCTCAGAGATGAGTTTCCTTTACTTCTGAGTGAGTGCCTGTAACTTTGCTCAGAGATGATTCCCCTTTATATTTGAGTGAGTGCCCGTAACTTTGCTCAGAGATGATTCCCCTTTATATTTGAGTGAGTGCCCGTAACTTTGCTCAGAGACGATTCCCCTTCATATTTGAGTGAGTGGATTTGAGCAAATTCCCTGAATATAAAATAAAGCTGGACTACAATAACAACAAACTCACATGAGTCCTTTCTTGAAATAGCTCTTGAAAATCTCGGACTCATTTCCCTGAACTTCTCTGTGTTGAACTGGTTCTCCTCCCAAGTAATCATCAAGATACGTCGTCAGCATTGCAGCGGCACCTGGAAGGAATGGGTCAAAGGTCAAATCAAGGTCGGACAAAATGAAAAACGAATGCCCTCTTAACTCAAAAAGAGTTGCCAAACTAAGGGGTCGGCTTATACGCGCATAAATCTGATCGCACTGAAACGAAATGACATTATGCCAACTTATTACCAACAGATACAAATCGTACAATGCTGAATTCTCACGATAGGAGCGTACGATTTGTAGAGTCGACTTACATGTGATTATATATTAATCCACCATGCATTCCCGTGTGAAAGGAGACGCGATAAACCAGTGATGGTTATCTAGCAGCGTGACCTATGAGGGAGTGAGTCTAACCTCAAATCATACTGAGAAAAAAGTCAAACATGAAATACAAACAAAAGCCGGACTTTCAAGCGACCTGATATTCCGGTGTCACTCTAGTTAATGGAAAACGACTCCATACACGACAGGCCCCTTAATCCAGCCCTCTTACTCTCTGAGGGCAAATGCTTTGTTAAATATTATAATTCATTTAGAATTACCAAACCCAAATACTTTTAAGAAAAAGTTTTCAGGATATTTCATGATGTGCAAAAGAATTTACCCAAAAACTTTTTATTTTTATATTTAACAGTTATATTCCAAACATAAATCTAACACTATGATTGTTGTAAACTGCTTGTCTGAGGAAGTCTGATTTTTGTCAGGCAAACGTTACAGAAATACATTTGTGTTAGTGTGCAGCAGGACTCTTTAGTTTGCATAGTATAAATTTGAACCAAATATCCAAATATTTGAACCTAAATCCAAATATTTTTCATTTTATTGTTAAAGTTAGATCGACACCGGGTATTTACTTATAGTTTGTGGAATCTTACAAACCAAATTCATGGGCGAGTCGATGCAAAGAACATCAATAGTAACAACTAAACTAAAGTAATATTGACTATATTGTTGAAAGCTTGTAGTCAAGATGAGACAGGAACACATAAAAGTGATTTACTGCCCCGATGATCAAACATTTTCCAAGTCATAAAACACACAATGCCGGGAATCAATCATTGCTGTTTGCCTAATCATTTTTTATGACACTCGGTAAAAATATCCGTAACAAATATCCGTGATGGCCTAGCCCTAGTGCTTAGAGCAGTAATTTCCAACCAACCCTCGGCCAGCAGTCCCGCGTAACTATTTAGTATGGCCCGACGAACTTGAATGAAATAGAATAACACTTTGTTTCATTCTTTTTGTGTTTTAGATATGGTCAATTGTTATGTCATTATCACAGTAACAAATCACTTTGTATTTTAACAATTTGGTATCTTACTTATTCGTACGAGTATCAACCTCTTGCGGGCGCTCCCCTCTACTGGCAAGCGAATATCTTTTAACTTCTAATTTTGGCCGCAGGTCAATCAATTTTAGGAACAACTGGGTTAGAGCATTGGTTATAAAGCACTCTGGAAGTATGTGCATCAAGGTGGCGCACAACTTGAACCCTAACCTTGTACACATATTATATTCAGGTTGTGCGCCATCTTGGTGCACATACTTCGGGAGCACCGGTTATAATTATGTTGGCAATGCAGGTTGAAGAAATATTTTGGAATCATGCCACATGCCCAAAACTTTGTCCATCAACTGATAATTTTTTATAATGTTATTTTGGCTGTGGGTGGTAATGGTGGTTAAAATGTTGGTCTTAATTATGCCTCCATTTGTAATAAACTAGATAGGAAATGCTAAACCAGAAAGTTTAGGGTTTTTCAAAATATATTATTGTTGTTAACAAAAATCAGTGAGCCAGACAAAACGATTCAAATCCCTGAATGTTCATGTGTTCCTGCTACAACACATAATAATAAATCCTTCATAGGCCTAAAACAACATTATCATAAAATCTTCACTTTGAAGATACCTTGTCAATGTAAGCAAGATTATATAAGATCGTTAGATATATAGTTTGGTTAATAACACTATCATACATGATACATTATGATTTATATAAAAGCATAGGAATGTTGACATAACCCATATGTCAAGAGTCATCCAAAGCAGGGCTCCCAAACTGGGGGTCGCGACCCCACAGGGGGCACGCAACAAGTTTTAGGAGTCGCAAATTTCAAACAAATTACTACTAAATCTATTCTTCTTCTTTAGACTTTTGATTCGAAACACAATTACTAAAACTAGCACTAGTCCTAGTCCTAGGTAAAATGAAACCAAAGTTGGAATACCAAATATATTAATTTGCAATCAAATTAGATTTTGTGATCATTTTTAAAAATAACGCATGTCGTGGTTCAACGAACCAGCATAGAAAACATAACTTTAAACCGCAAATTCAGTCATCTCATTACGATATCATAATAAACATTAATTTTGAAGAGGGGAGCACTTCAAAGTACTTAAGTGAACACTTGACTCACATCCGAGCTCTAGATAAACATTGTACATGAAATAGCTAGGCATGAATGGATCCCGAATATTTTACTATTCTAAATACATTCCTAAAGTAATATATCTGAATTTGAGATATCCTGAATAGCATTATGACCACTAAGGTAGTGGTTCGTTCTCAACATTTTTTTATTAAATTACTCCCTTCGTGTATTTCTTTCCTCCCCAATATGCATTAAAAAGTCCTTTATTTTTATCTTTACTTTAGCACTCCATGCTTTTGTACAGTCCAGGTAGCATATAATGTATGCTTATTACAGTAATATTAAAAAACTAAACAATATTAGTTGGCTAATACTATGGCACAAAATTGCTACCCCAAGAATAATTGCTCTCCCCAATTGGGTAACATGGAACTAGGGGCCGATCCGGAAAGAAATTACCCCGGCCATAAGACATTGCTTGGCAGAAATTGCTCAAAGCAAATAATCTACTATTCTAAATACATTCTGAGAGGTACTCCCGTAGTATGTGTACCAGGTTAGGGTTAGGACATAATTTTATTCCGATTTTAGTTTGATTACGAGTTCGGAGACTGTCTGTATTGACCAAGTGAATATACATAGGTTTCAGTTCCTTTACACAACTTGATGTAAAGTAGACGACCTCCATATTGGTACAAACACTTTTGACATAATATTTCAGAGTCTGATATAACCTACACCGAACAACTACATAAACTATGTTAAGGTATCATTCAGCATCCTAGCATGCAGAACGTCCTAGATCACTGAAATATTTTGGATAAAATCATACTTGATTATTATTATTTTTTGTAGTGGTAATTTACAATCAAGCGTAAACAAAATCGAATAAGTTTACTCAATTTTTATATATGTAATCAAGAAATTTATGGGTTCATCCTGTATCCATGGTTACTGGCTAAATCATCTTCATTGCTTTTGACAAGTGGAAAGTAAAAAAAGATCTGAGAAATCAATTTTCCAATTCAAATAATGATGTCAAGGAGTGTTTACTCTAACGGAAAAAAGTGCGCTAATATTGAACACTGATGTCAGGGGGTGGTGAAATTCATATAAGAGAGAGCCAACTGAATAAACAGGTGTAACTTCATTAAACCTTAACCAAAAGTAAGCAGTTTTATGTCGCACCCTAGAAATGTTTCCTGTGGGTTGTTTAATTCAATTTAGGAGAAAAGGGCTTGGAAATTGAAAGGCCTTGGTTAAATAATTGGGATAGGAAAAGGAGTTCCAAATTTTTCCTGATAGCAGAGAAAGCCGATAAGGTGATACTGTCAAATGTTGACTATGACCACTTTTGCGGTACCAGCCCTGAATATGTTATTTTTTCGCTTATTTTCGATTTTCGCTCTGAACATGGCAGCCCCTGATATCTTACAATATGCTGTAGCCTGGTTTACATAGTTGATTTATTGTGTTGAAAGTTAGCCCACAATGATGAGTTCTACCGAATTCTACCAGTCATCTAAATCGTCATTTCCAAGTCACAAAGGTTGCTAAATACGACACATTTTACTAATGTCATTGCTAATTTGACAAAAGATTAATAGAAATAGGATCTAGGCAAAGAAGCCAGTTTATAATAGAGTTTCCCGATGTTTTCTTTTAATATGTGGTTACATCCTTTACTCTAAATAAGGCTTTGCTAAGCATTCCCTGATAAATATGGAGCTGATTTCTTTTTGAAACACTTAAGATGTTTTGGTATTGTCTGCTCAATATATTATAACAGTGGTTTGTAACTTTTAATACAGGAGGGTTATACACAAATAACAGGGTGAAACCGTAAGCCACATATTTATTTAACAAAGGCTATCTAGTAGTTGCAGACACAAAAATATTGGTTACTGATCTTATATCATGTATTTCGTGCGCACACCATTCAGAATCGGCACTTTTCCGCGATCTGCACAATATTTCTATGGGGGCTGTATTTGGCCCGCTGGTTGAGGGTTGCACGCTCCAGCATTATACCATGAGTAAGGTTGTGGATACAGGACCTAAACTTGGTCTTTTTAGCAGTGATTCATTAATGAGACACTGTACAAGGAGTCACTGATACATAATACTATTACCAAAATACTCAAATCTTTTCCGTTCAACATTGTAACCCAATTCATTAAACCCTAGGTTAAGAAATGAGTGTTAGACACAAGATTTCAATCTTTAACCTTAACAATGCCAATTTAGTTAGGCCCGGTAAAAGAGTCGAATCCCCACTGACACCCATTATCGGCCCCTGATAAGATGGCAAGGGCTTTGAGTCTCAGCTCTCTCTCACAAAATAATCACAAATCCATCTCATAAGGCTGGATGACTGAGAACAATTGTCACAAAATGTCTGAGCATTGCCTCGCTTGAATTATATAAACGCTTTGGTTGAACCTGAGATTTTCAACCTGCCCAACTAAATATTACAAACTATTACCTTGTTCATCCTGGGATGATTCTGCTCCGATCCAGAAATGTAATTCCCACTTTGCTAACTTTGATTTTCTGTCCGCAGTCTGGAAAATTATAAAATGTGATGGATGGGCGAATTCGGGCATTCTAACTTTCCTTCGTCAGTATAGCCAGAAAATATTTCAAGCAATGACCCTATGCTTTATTCCGTTTTCAGTTGAGGGATCATTCAAGCGAACTTGTTTAAAAACATATACATAGCTATTAACGTGCATACGAACGGTCGCGTGCAACTCTCATATCAGGACCTTACTACTTTTAGTTGAAGGCTTGGGACCTTGTTTAGAGTAAACTTGTATAAAAACCTATAAGATCTTAGTGGATGAGAAGTCGTTTGTTTGCAACTCTTCGATAAGTATTCTTTCCAAAATGAGCAAAAATCTCAAAATCTAGCTTGGAGCAAACTTTTATAAAATCTATTTATATAGAATAGTGATTTCACAACATCTCCCCAAAATTTTGCTCCCCCCCCCGCACCAATTTTTAGGTGCAATTCCAAATATTCCAAGTATAGTTTTATTCAACTATATAGAATATGTCATATTTATCAGTGCAGATGGTCTGTCAAGTACATAAGACATTTTTATAAGTTACAAATCGTTTTACGTTAATAGCAAATATTTACAACTCCCTAAATTTCAAAACACCCCCCCCCCACCCTCTGAAAGGAAAACATCATCCATAATCAGGACCTCTCTTTAAGCAAACAGAAAAATATTCCCTTCTAACTCACATGAAGTATGATGTAGGCATCGCCAGTGTAGAAGTTCCCGTAGTTGTCGGCTGGAACAGTAACCATCTCCATTTTCTGTGATGCAAAAAGAAAGTTAGATATGAAAAATATTTTTCTTTTTGTGGGAGGAGAGATCAAACAAGTCAACTACCTAACTAATAACTTTGTATTTTAGTGGTTACACGTAACTTTGCTCTGAGATGAGTCTCCTTTACTTCTGAGTGAGTGCCCATAACTTTGCTCAGAGATGAGTCTTCTTTACTTTTGAGTGTATACATTGGGCAAATGGCGTAAGTTCATTTAATTAGTTATTTTCATGAGTTTTTCAGAGCCTTAAACCAGCAGTCACTAAAAGTTTATTCTAGAGGTTATAAAATTGAGCCGTCTGTACGGGACATGAGCAAATTCTTTTGCTTTCGTTTATTGACTTTTTGATATCAAATGTGGTGCAGAAACAAATTGATGAAAATGAGATAAAACTAGTTTTATTTTTATAAAACAACGGAGGGCCACAAGTGTTGGGAGTTTTTAGGAGAGCGGGGGGTTGAGGGGGCCACAAAGTTCGAGAACTACTGATTTATCCTAAATCCTACGCCCCCCACGTCACCCAGGGTGTGATAAATTGAGAAGGCAATGCCGAACTGGGAAGATTCCTGTCCTCCAAGGCATAGTAGCGTCTTCCATATCATTGGATATCAGTGGAAGCTCGTATAAAGCTTTGTTCGGAGCGGGAGGTGCGAATAAAAGTTGTATAACAAATCCAGTTGCATAAAAAATACAGCGTGTCCAAAAAATTTTGCTCAATTTTATAGTAATAACAATTGTAAGTTTAAATAAAATTTATTGCATGATAAATGGGAACTACAAGCACAGTAGGAACTATTATTAATTAACGAAGAAATTAGTAACTGTTATTACTATAAAATAGGGCAAAATTTTTTGGACACTTTGTATATCAGGCCTTATTTAGCTGTGTTTAAATATAATTAGGCAATCTTATCGATTCTGCATGTCATGCCACCAATACGTACATTCATCGACATCTTAAGTAAATATACTCAGCCACTCCCTAATGCAAGACCCTTCTGTGACATCACAGAGCATTCCATATATGGTAACGGACGGGTTGTGTACGCATTAGTTAATGTTTTACAGCATTCATGTCGAAATATCAATAATCATCGTTCAAACATGGCCCGAAGGTAAAAGATACTACACAGCCTCTTATTATATATCAACCAAACTTAGATGATTGTAAATTAATTGATTTCTATTTTGTTTGCTAGTCCTCGTGGTCAGGAAATATCAGGCGGATAATTTATGTGAAAAGCGATTAATGGAATCTGCAGAGGCTGATTACCGTATCTTGAGTAAATATAATGAATCTTAGCATTCTCGGCCTATCACAGCCTGGGAATAATATTTCGGTTATTTCTCTCTCTTGAAGAGGGCCAACACGGAATTATTTATCAAAACCAAATTATTTATCACGAGTTTCATATAATAATAATATGAAATATACAGGGTGGCCCAAAAGTAGGTATACAGTTATTAAACTATTTTATATGCTTTGAAGCTACTTGCAGTTCACTTTATTTTACTTGCTAAGTACCACAAATATTGCTTGTTTTTTTAGATAATGAATCTAGTGTGAATTTTACATTAGTTTTCTAGCTGCTTGGAAGGTAATGAAAAAAAAATAAAATAACTGTATACCTAGTTTTGGGCAACCCTGATTCAAAAAAAACTCAAAATTCATTACATTTGATTTAACAAAAGTTTACAACACGACTATAGTTGGATTTAGTTTTCAGGAAATGGGGTTTTCTCGGACCCCATGGTGCCAGCGAACCTCAGTTTTAAAGCCCTTAGTCTATGACAGTAAAAATGGAAACTTGGATATAGTTTTCAGCATATTTGGTAGGAACTGTCAGAGTGGGCCAAATACCAATCAGGGATATATTATACATAATTTAAATTTTATATACCTATAACTAATAGGAATACTTCAGAATATTATTATTCACGGCCACATTTGGATATTCTTTCTAGGGTATTTGAGAAGGTGGACCTGTCTCAAAGAGAGCTGAAATCAAATAATTTATTATGCACTACGGAAAAAAAAAATTAATTGTATTTCATATAATGAAGTGTTTATTTTAGGTATATTTAGGATAATATTATTCATATCCACAGTTCATAAGGTATAGTTATCAGAATAAGAACCCAAACTGAATGCAATACTATTCCGAATAAATTTAAAAAAAAATTTTGAAACTTGATAATATGGAGTGTATTCTAATTTTACCGTTCAAAAAATCACATTATAGTAATTATCCTTTCCAACCAGGGGCGTGTGGCCCACCAATGGGGCCACAGAGCAGTTAGAGGGGTGCCATCATGTCAGACGCAAAACTGATTTTACTTTTCTCTTTCTACCCTGTTCTTCATAGATTCATAGCTCGATAAGGTTATTTCACAGGGTGCTTTCATTTTGTTGAGCATGAATTATTTGAACATAATGGGATTTGGAATCTACCAATCAAAATAACACTATAATACCACTGGAATGATAAACAGGGGGCCATGAGTGCTAACAATATATAAGAGGTTGGGCACCACTGTTCTATAACATTTTTATAAAAAGTATACATTATGATTAGAGTCTATTTCACGAATTTCTCTCTGAGCATTAATGACTAAAAGATTGGGAACACCGCAGTAAAATAAAAACAAATTCTTTCCAACCTCAATTCTCCATATCTGTAGTCCAGGTTTCTTTCCCGCCTTCTCAAATTCAGCATTGTAAACTTCAGGAGCCATGTTCAGTGATAATAACAGAGGAAAAGATAAAACCAGTGTGATATATGACACAAACTGTACAATGAGAGAATAGTAAGTTGGCGAAATTATTAATTCACAGACAGTAAAAATATACTATTGTATGTGATTCAAGAGTCTTGCTGCACACTAACACAAAACATATTTCGGGTCTCGTGTAGTTTCGTACCTAACGTACTTCTATTGGGCGTAGCATAACAATTTTTTGATATGTCACTCCTAACCCCCATCTGACTACGCCATCCAAAAATTACGTCACTACAACATCACAATCACATCATAGAGCTTGTCAAATATACGTACAATCGTCCGAAATGGCATTGGCGCCGACGATAAAAAACTGACTGACGTTATCGATCTCTCTCCTATTGGAATCGTTGCGACGAGAAAACGAGAGAAATAACTGTTCGATTTCGGGTGCTCGTTTGTGCGTCTTGGATGGAAGTTTGAAGGGATCTATAACGTCACAATGATGTAATTTTCGGATGGTGTAGTCAGGTGGGGGTTAGGATTGATACGTGGGAAAATTGTCATGCCACGCCCACTAGAAGTATGTTAGGTACGAAACTACATGAGACCCCATATTTCTAATGTTTCATTTGACTGACGGTTTCCTTAGACAAACATTGGCATGTATCCAGGAATTTTTAGAAGGGGGGGGGGGGGGTTCCTGAAATTTGCCAAGTTAGACCGCAACAGCTCGCGGATTCCACTGGACGTCAGAAATATGGGTTTTCAAGTGACTTGAGGGTCTAATCTAAAAATATAATGAGCGTTTCAGGCAACGAAGAATTGCTATGTATGATACAGAGAATTGCTATGTATGATACAGAGAATTGCTATGTATGATACAGAGAATTGCTATGTATGATACAGAGAAATGCTTTTTTTACATTTCAAAATTGACTCTTTTCAAGCCAGTAAAAAACAATCACAATTCCAACGAAGTCAACATGATATTTTATTGGTAAAGCGAAGCACAAGGGAGAACTATTGAGTAGCGACGCCCAAATGAATAAAGTCAAGACTATTTTGAGCAGTTTTCGTACATATGATCACAAAAGACAAATAACACATAACAATGCACAAGTCAAGCTTTTATGATTAAAATTTTCATTTCCCAGAATTTTATTGTATTTTACTGGGATTCAGAAATTCAGAGTCACTTTTAAATAATGACAGAGTCTTACCAAGCCAGTGGTTGCAATCATTTTGTTACTACACTATTATTCTGCATATTATATCAAGATGTAACTAATTGGACTTCTTGGCATACAGTAAACAGTCAGTTGCTTGCAACTTTCTACTGGCAATTGATTTTTCTCCAGGAATATTCAAATATTGCTTTCTAAAACATTATCAAATATCAAGTTCAACTATTCCTGTATTCCTATACCCAACATGGGCAGCCTGATGTGAGATTGTGGTTCTCCATCATGACCATACGATTGAGCCATCTTATAGGATCTCTCCTCCCAGTCATCCGGTGATAACTAGATACTGAAATAAGAAAATCCTGTTCTATTTCTGTATTTTAGAATTTGGATGACGGAACACATTCCTGACTTCTTTTAACAACACCTTTCAATCTAACATCTGTATGTTTTAAACCTTACTTAAGCTTTTGTTCGCTTTCTTGATTTTGTAATCAGTTTCATTTATTTTTATAAGGGTTTTTACCATTTTTTTTTTTATCTTTCATGCTGATTATGGATTCAAAAATAAACTTATACTGAAATAACTACTTACAGACTTATTTTAGTATTCGGTTACATTATATTACCTCTCACCAGTATTACATTACCCTCCTCAATAAAAAAAAGCACACCATGCGCCTAAATATATATCGTTAAATATACAAGCCCACTCCTCACCGCCCGCTGATGTAACAACACGCCGCATACCCAGCGCGGGGCGGACGCGAACGAGCTAACTAAACAAAGCAAAGCCAGCGTGGCGTGTCTAGCAACGGCCACTGACGACATTAATTACGTCATATAGCACGCTTCAGTGATATTGTTCCACCATATGACGTAAAAATGTGTTTTAAAATTTTATTGGATTTATATAGACGTAAAATTTTTGCAAAATATTATTTATTGATCGGAATAATAACCGAAAAACTGTATTATTAACTGGAGTATATTCACTAGTCGGTAGTGGGCAGCAAAGGACTGTTTGAAGTCATAAAATTTTACAAAAATGTTGAACTTTTAGGACCGTTTCTAGACTTTTTACACTTTGAACAAATGTCTGTACTATATTCTGATGGCGCTACTCTCCTCAAACTGGCGTCCGACCCCTTGTGGATTGCGAAAGGACTCAATGGGGGTCGTGGTAAAATCTTTTTCGCCACTAACTTTCGTTAAAAAAAAATATCGATCAAATGTAAAAGATTTGGAACCAAAACTGAGACGAAACATCACCAAAATAGAGTCAAGATTCGCTCTTTTTGCGAGAATATAAAAGCACATAGATCTCATTTAAAGTATTGTCGATTTTATTGTTTTATATTTAATATTTTCTGTTTACTTTATTTTATATTTTGGTTCTTTAGGGTCGAAAAAAATTTGTCCGTGCCAAATATGTCGTAACAAAAAAAATTGAAAAACACTGTTATAGTATACACGTGAAAAAAAGAGCGATACAAAGAAAATTAACCTGAACCAGAATATGTCTAGTCTGGTGGTACTTGGTTTATATTTATTTTCCTCCTTGGGGGAGATGACTAAATCTTAGTCTGAATTTCAAAATAACGTTGGTTTACCGCTGGTTGAAAGTCTTAGTGTCAATGATATTCATAAATATTCAAACTACTGGAACTCGGTCTCGATTTGCGATTTCAACTCGACTTTTAATCGAAAGTGTTGTAAATCGATTCGTTTGAGAGTATAATTTTAAAAATTGCTGGATCTCCTGAAGTATGCGCACCAAGATGGCGCACAACCTGAACTCAGGTTTTGTACCAGGTTAGGGGTTCAGGTTTTGCGACATCTTGGTGCGCATACTTCCGGAATACCAAATTGCTGATACTTGAATCGAACGACACGAGGTTTAGAGACTTGCACCTATACTGGATGTAACCGACCAGTAGTTACGCAAACCGGCAATGAGTACAATAGCGTAGTCAGGGGGGTATTCGCAGTGAGACAAATTCTTTCGCTTTACCCAACAAAATTTTCTTGTATTCTTGAACGGTTCACTGAAAATTGACGTTTCCTGGGTTGGTATTAATAATTTCTATCGCCAAATGAATCAAATAAAACAGATGCAAATGCGCGCTTGTATAACCTTGAATAACTTCGACAGCGAAGTACGCTGTCTCAAAAATTTGGCTTTTGTTGCAGCTTCCTCCGCTACCAAGGTCATGCGTACGGAGAGGAGAACTGTCCACCTATTCCTATACCGTACCGGAATTGGTAACATAACTAGAGGTATCCATATAATTGAGCCGTCGTGTCACCTTTTCTCTCCTCTCCTATGACATAAAACCATCCTATCCTATTACCAACCAAACGATTCTAACGGTATATTAAAGTTGTTAGTGTTGACTGCCCATTACTACGCTACGGTATATTTAGCCTCCGGTACCGTGTACAACAGCTCAAGCCTTGTAATTACTATCGTTTGCACTTAGGCAGAAATCAGTCAACCAATTGATATTCTGCCCGCAAGCGTACTTACTATTATTAATTCGTCAAAAATACTAGGATGGTTAAGTTAACGGTTTTCGGTTTACATAAATACCTATGTTATGGTCAAAATCATGCACCTACGACAAATTACTGGAAACTATTCCACACCATACCCGACGTCTTGATTAGCGCTGGGCAATTAGACTTGGATAGTAAATTATTCAATTCGGTTTAGACCAGGGGTCTCCAACACGCGGCAATTTGTTTCGGCCCGCGGTTGATTTGTTGAGATTTTTCCACAAAAAAAAAAACTAAAATAGTACGATGTCACCTATAAGGAAGTTTTATCGTGTTATTTAACATCAAGAGTCCGATCCGACAAACTGTAAAAAGTGAAGCAAAAATTCCCCTCTGGTATTCCACTTAACCACATTCATATATTCAGAAGACACAATGACAATTAAGTTATTTGATTTACAAGTATTTTTTGGAAACACAACTACAAACTGACAAATAACTACCAATGAAACTACCAAAAAGAAGCAATGTTTTCAACTACGCTTGAATATCTGAATAAGAGTAAGAGAAGTGTCTGACCGGCGGCATAAATTCCAATTGTTACGTCAATGTTAACTTATCGCTGATTTGTAATTCTTACGGAAATAAACAAGGAAATCGATGACCAGAAAAACATTCATTGTAATGATTGAATTTTAGGATTAAAAATTTCATTTCGCAATTTTATTGTGACGAAATAAACAAGTGTCGGTCAGATCATAGAAGTATGCAGTTATTAATCATTAATTCATAACTGCATGCATTTGTTACTTTATATGTAACAATTATGTAGCTAATTTGTTGGTTTGTGGCCCGCGTGGTCAATGAAGTTCAAAGAGTGGCCCGTGACAAATTTTGAGTTGGAGACCCCTGGTTTAGACGAAAATTTTGAATCGCGGTCATCTTTTTTTTTTAAAGGTCGAGAAAAATTCTCCAATTTTCTTATTAAAAACATATTTTACAATGCAATTATGACTCTTTTCTTCCTCGTGAGGTATTGTATGTGCACCAAGATGGCGCACAACCTGAACATAGTATGTTAGTACCAGATAGTATTACCAGTACCAGGTTAGGATTACTTCGAGAGCGCCGTTTTTTATTATGTGTGAACGCTCAGCAAACTGTCTGGGTTATGAACTTTATGATTCAAGTAATTTAATGTGTTGAAATCAGCCATTGCAGTGAAAAGTCACAATTACATGTCTCCCAAGTATTTGAGGTTCGATTTGATTCGAAAAACATTCGATTCGATTCTTGAATTATCAGACATATGATCCCGAGTCGTGATTCGCCATAGGTCCTTTAAACTTCTTCGTCCCGGTTCTCAATTTGAAAGCACCATCTTAACCATGGACGTTTCCCGCAAGGGGAATTCTGGGGTGGCTGGGTGGCTGGCCGAAACTCTGATCTCAATTGTTAAAACTCGTAATTGCCATTATGAGCGGCCAATATTGATGGTATTTATGCCTTTTCATTGTGGTAATACGATCAACCGGTCAACGGTACTATTATGGTTTGCGTAGCAGTGTTCGGTTATTGCTTCATCTGCTTCAAGTCCGTGCATTTGAAACGAAAAGATGGTTGGTAATTCGCAATAATATTCAGACGTTTATTAGCTAAAGTAGCGCACACGATATTCCTAGATGAACGTCTTCAATTCATGGCACAAATACACCTACTTCGAATCAACGCAGTGTGTTCAATGTATTTTATTCGGTACTCCCGAGGTATGTCAATCATGATGGCGGACACCCGAACGTAGTATGTGTACCAGGTTAGGGTTAGGCCATAATTTCAGGCACAAATACTACAGGAGTTCCTTGGCTAGTCCCCGAACTTGTAATAGAACTAAAACAAGAGAGCTACGCCCAGATATATGGACACGTCTGTTCGCAGTACAGTACGGTTTACCGTACCGTCAGATCACAGTCTACCAATATATTCACACCAAGCGAAGCCGTACAGTAGGACACAAAATGGCGTCCGATGTACGTAGAACGTTTAATGACGTCATAGCAAACAAAAACAAATCTCACAGAGCCAACAGGTATATTTAAAATGAATAAAAGTAATAAACTTCTGGGGAAAAATTTTATCTTCAACCACTGAAAATTTTAAAGCCATTGGTCCAGTATTCGAAGAGAAAAGCGGTTTTTTAATATTTCTACTAGGTGTGTTATTCTGTGTCAAATAACAACAAGAACACGAACAGCATAATATTGAAACGATCGTTATGTCCACTACGTGTCCAATAAGAAAAATTGGAATAAAATCATGGTCTGGCCATAACCTGGTACACATACCACGTTCCGGTGTCCGCCATCTTGGTTTACATTCTACGGGAGTACCTTTTCTCCGTGGTAATCAGCCTCGTCGTGGGATGCCAAGCGTGACATTGTTAATTAAGTAAGATTCTAATTCACTCGATTCACGTCAGTAGCCATAGCTCAGGGGTAGCGTAGAGACATGGTCAAACACCAGGCCAGGTGTGAAAGCTGGGTTCGAACCCCACAAGGCAGAATAAATTGTAGGGAAGGAACAGCACACAAGACAGAATGTCGGGATAAGAAAGAGAGCAGACAAGACAAGGCAAGAGGGCAAGCGAGAACAGCAGAAGAAAGCAACCATGGGAGGTACCATACGCAGGCAGGTAAGTCGAAGCTGCGTGGAAGAAAAACCGGATGGGCAAAAGGGCAAGCGAGAGCAGCAGACAAGGCGGACAGCAGAAGCACCAGTCGAAGCCGTAGGCAAGATGGCAAGCGCCAAAGATGGCAAGCGAAAGCAGCAGACAGGATAAACGGAGCCATCGGCAGGCAGGCCACCCGAAGCCGCATGGAAGAAAAAGCGGACGGACAAGATGACAGTATGCAGTCAGGAAGACCAAGACAAGCGAAAGCAGCAGTCAGGATAAACAGAACCATCGGCAGGGCAGGCCAGTCGAAGCCGCATGGAAGAAAAAGTGGACGGGCAAGATGACAAAGAGAGCCAGCCAGCAAGCAGTCAGGAGGACCAGCCACAAACAACATCAAGCAATCAGGATGAAGAGAGTCAAAATAACGATGGGCAAGCTGAATAAAATAAACAGCGATGCCTCTGGATCAGCTGGAAGCAGCAGGTGAAAAAGTAAGTACAAATTTCAACAACCGCCCACAGGCGGTTCAGGTGAAAATAATAAAAAGATGGAGACAACTTTAAAACAACCAACGTTCAGAAAACAGCCCCAGGGCTCCGCGAGAGAAACCCGGGGGCTTCGCAAACTATTCGATTACTTTTCAAAATACTTACTAATTTTGTAACTGTTCTAATAAGAAGCAATAAACAGTCTTGATAAAATCCGACAACAATACAGCCTCGAAATATGGCAAAGAGGCGGAATTAAAACTATTTATAAGCTGGAGCGCAGCCAGAATTTTTAAAAGGGGGGGGGGAGGGAATCGGAAATTCCCGCGTAACATTCTTCGCGATTAAAAAAAACGGATAACAAGATTTCTTTTGCGTAAAAAATTCAATTCATGACCGATGGGAGCATTTAACGCATCTCGTCGTTATAATGTAATTGTGCTCATCGTTACTCACGTTTGATTCGAGATTACTATTAGGATTACTAAAATGAAAGAATACTAGTCTAAAATAACATAAAATCCGTGATAAACTGCCAACTATAAAAAAGGTCGTATTTTTTCGATCTTGGGATTTATCAAACTTGATTTGTTCTTTCGCACTCGAGATTATTTTGAAGCAAGATATCGCCGTTTGAAAAATCATAGGGTCTGGGCAAAATACGATTGATTGAAATTTATTTTATTGCATGCGGCTCGGCCAGTAGTTTCAGAATGAAAAAAAGGCACATCGCGCGCACAATTGACTGTGTTTCGATTTCGCAGTTACCGGTACTACGATGAATAACCAAAGAAAACCTAACATAACACCAAATTTTGTGATTTACAATGCGTATAAAAACGTTTGAATTTATAGTGTGATCTTCAATTTTAAGTTTTAATATTTTAGAATGCCGTTTTTCAATCAGGAAATTTGAGCTGCTGATTTACCTCTTTATTAATTATTATTTTTAGCATTTCGTCGCCGATGACTATAATATGGTAACATGTTTTTCACATTGAACTCATAATTCCCCACGAGAACAAAAAAGCTATTATCATCGTCATTGTGGAACAATACATGTCTATGCCGATATAAATTTAGGGAGAATAAACACAGGCGGATGTTAAAAAATGCCATGCTGACGAAAGCAATTGGCAATTGTAACAAAATGCAATCGCGCACGTTATTAGCGGCTTTTAAGTCTTCCGAAAATGTCAAAAAAGAAAAGATTCGACTCCTAATTTATTAATATATTTGTCAAGTGTCAAATTTACAGCTTTAGTATATATAATTTATCTTTGAAATTTAGATTTATTTATTACTTGCATTAACCCTATTAAAAAGGTTTATTTCTTTTAGGGCTCCGTGAATATTAGCCAATCTTTTTAGGGGTTCCGCAACACCAAAAGTTTGAAAACCCCTGTGTTAGATGAACGCGATATCTCTAGAAGGCGAGGTTGAATCTGCTTCAAATTTTGCATGTGCATTCATATCTCGGATCAAAAGCATATTGATTTTGGACACGCGGTGTCACTATAGAGTCATGAATCAAAACCGCAGTTTCGATCGATAAGTCTTCGGTCTCCGACCGATATTCTCGTTTATGATAATTATTGGCTCGAGTCCAACTTTTTTGTGAAGTTTTGAATTCCGAAGTGATCCGCTATAGTTCGGTAACTAAATAATAAGTTGTTCGCCGTGTGAGTAAGGAGTCGGCGCTTCCTTGTCCGATTGCGGTAACCTTGCTTGGTTATTTTTCCTCAGTTACATCCTTACTTCAGGAAAAAAGACTTTCCCGAACAATTTGAGTCAATTCTTATTCTAACAAAACGGAGCGAAAATTAATATCGAACACAGGTATTCTGTTTTCATCAACTTTAATTCGTAATCAAAAAATGACGTCATATAGTTACGTAATCACTACATCAAATACAATTAAAAACAAAATTAGAAAAATTCATGAAAAATCAAATAATGAAATTACTAAAGAAATTATTAAATATTAGGAATATTTGAATATTAAAAATAAAAAGGGGGAGGAATAACGGCACCTGTAAACTCATTTGCGTCCCCAAGTGACTGCATATACACAGCGTTGTTTTGAGCTTCAGCGTTGATAGAAATCGTAAATGAATATATATTAGGATTTTCTAAGGTGTTTCGCTCAAAACAAGGCTCTAGATAAGTGGTCACTTATATGTAAATGACAATGGGTGATTCACGGAACAACAAAAATAAAACAAAACGTAAATTAAGACAAATCTTTAGGTTATCGCGATAAAAAAAACATTTGGAACGATATCTGTCATGCATAACTGTTGTCATGGTAACAAATTAAGTCTCTGACCAGACTTTGTGCCACGGCCTACGAATTTAAGAACAAGTATCGTACCAGACGACATTTGTTCCAACGAAACCCTGTTGCCTGTTGTCATGGTGAACGTAGTTGCCATGGTTTTATTTTTGTCATGGAGATAAGAGTTCAAACGTAGAATATTCTTCATGGCTGTTAATTCATTTTATTAGCTGACGTAAAATAGGTTGTCATGGCGATGTAAGGATGGTGGTCGTGGCGATATGGCTTCTAGTCTCGAATCAGACGTAAAATTCGACACATCCGAATTCCTCGCAGGACTTGGCCGATCCTCCATCGATTCTGTAGTCGACACTATCAGGGTCGGTTGTATGCATTCCACTGTAGCAATGGCCTGTTAGAAGAGTAATAAGAAGTTTTAGAACATATTCTTGGCGTAAAATGTTCTTTTTTTATGCTACAGGCCCCGACCTCTTACACGGCGCTATCAGCTAAGTTGATTGCCTATAGCAGGGGGGAAGGCCAGGGGGTTCGAAAGTTCGAAAGTTTTAAAAATGAATTTTCTATTTTTTTATGTATCATATATAGCAATTTACCGTAGCTTGAAACACTTCTAGGCTCACAAAGCCACACGTTTTTAGGACCCGTTAGCAAATATAAATTTCAGACTCCCCTTTAAAACTTCCTGGCTACGCCCCTTGCATATATGTCTCGATGTTTTCCGAGGAAATAAAAAAAATAGATGTTTGCGTTTATGAACGTTTATGAAAAATCTTATTTGATTTCTGTGACCAGCGATGCGATCAAGAAGTATCAAAAAAAAATAGACTTCCAGGGCCACCATCGCGCGAGCGCTCCGAGTGTAGGTGCGCATAATCCCGTTGCTTGTCTAAATCTTAGTTCAGAGAGTTTGTCGGGGTATCACGCTATTACATTATTGATTTATTTATCTGGCATTTCACTAAAATACAGGGTGTCCATAAAGTTCCTCCGCAATTTCAATTTTGGTATGAAGTCAGTTCTCAATTTATCTTAACCAGGTTTGTTGTTTTAATAAACTTGTGAGGGTCAAAACAAAATGCGGTTTCGATAAATTCCCTTTGCAATTTTATGGACTTTATGGACACCCTATATAATTTGAAAGCGATTTCGCCAATTTATGGCAATCTAACTCACCAGTAAGAAGAGAGTTGGTCGATTCCTCATAGAAATCCATCTTGATGAGTCTGAATCCGGCGTTGCAGCATCCGCAGACGAAATCGGCGCCCATTGTGTCCTGTAATATAAAAAGAGAAAAAATAAGTCTGGGTTGAACTTGCACTGATAAGTAAGAGTAATATTTTCAAGAGAATATAAAAAACCAACTCGATTTTCACCATTTTATGGTGTGTTTTCACACTTTTGATATGAACAAGACATTATGAAATTATGAATGAAACCTTGATAAAAGATGAGTTTGAAAAACGACTATTTTGCTATTGAAGCGTGACTGGACAGAATAATCTTATGTCAAGAATCTTGCATGGTTGCTGCTTGTTGTTCCCAGATTTAGTTTTTAGTACGCCCTAGGTATTGTTTGTCTCGAGCCTTATTCGAGTTGAAAGGATACAAAAACTTCATAGATGAAAATAAAATTCAGAATACGAACCTGTGCTATCTTTGCGACCATTCTCTCGGGGTGGGGTAGGATGCATCTGCCTGGGTCACGTGGATTGAAATCCTGGAATAAAAGAGAAAATAAAATAAGCATTGACTGTCTATTATAAACAAATTGGGAAATTATAAAGGCGTAGCAGGGGTGCCACGCCCTCACCCTTCTCTCAGAACTGGCTGTGATCTTGGGAATTTGGTGCATATGTATGAATCAATGAGTTAGAGGTTTGCCTGCTAGACTTAACTACGTTGGTATTGTAGGCCCAAATCTCTATTCAAATCGCAAGCCCAGCACATCACAAAAGGTCCCAAAATATAGTATCCTCTTACTTAGCAGTTGCCGGTTGTGCAGATCCTTCTCAGGAGTAAAACGCGGTATAGGTAGATCAGTCGTGTGAGAAATTACAAATTATCAGCCTCTTGCAAATCAGTGTCAAATGAAGAATGTAGTGTAAAAAAATTACCTTATGGCATCTGACGCAGTGGGCTGCATCGGCTGTGAATTCCGTCCCGGGGAAAAGCTTGGTGAGGGCGTGTATCGAACCCGGGTCCTTCGTATCAAGCAATTTCTCTAGTCTGAGTTTGAGATCATCAGGGTTCACGTTTTCTAGGAAATGTCGAAGTCTCGTCGCCTCGTTGCTCAAGGTTTCCGCTGGAGGGAGTGGGCTATCGTGTTTCGAGATGCTCAGGTTGGTGCCATGGCTACTGTTGCTATGACGGTCACTGTCGTCATGGTAATCGCTAATACGACATGAATTGTCATGGCAACCGCGAGGGAGGTTTTGTGGAACTGGTCTTGCAATCCCGTTTTCGTCGATTTGGGCGGGGATGTAAATTATCCCTCCTGGGCCAGATTTTGGGGGCCCGTGGGGGTGGTGGTGACCAGGGAGGCCACTAGATGGCTCATTGTAAACATTTTTTGAAGTTTGGGGAGGTTGCAGTTGGCTTGTTATTGTGTTGTATTGTATCGTTGAACTTGGGGGCGCTATTGAGCTGTTTCGGGGAGTTACTAACATTTGTAAAGTTTGGTTTTTAACACCTTTGCCACAACTGTGAGGAAACTGGAACTGGTCGGGGTGGGATTCGAACCCATGTTGGTTTAACATCTGGTGCACTGGAGGATGAACCGCTACGGCGGGACCATCCGGTAGCGTTGGTTTGTTAACGGCTCGGCGCTTCACCACTACAAAAGCCGATTTCCGATCCCCGGGGCTGAGAGGGGAGGGGAGACTGGGTGGGGTTATACGTTTGATTGACGTCAAGTTTTCTTCGCTTTTTGAGAATTGTTGGGCGTTTGTGAGTGAGTTTTTACGCACAGGTGTGCTGGATGTCGAGTACTGGGGACTTCCTTTGGTGTTCTTCAAAATCCCTCGAATCGGGGACGGTTTCAAGGGACTTCCCACCCCCGAACTACTTGAAGGGGAAGTTGAAATGATCACCCGCTTTTTATTTTGTTCATAATGTAGTTCAGATATATCCAGGGGGTCATAGTATGGGTTATGTGAGTGGTCACCCACATTATAATACCCCATATCGTATTGGGGGTCAGTTTTATCAGTCTGGTATGATTTAATCTCGTTCATACTCTGATGAAATTGATGAAAAGCTGCCGTTTTGATGACGTCATCGTCACCTGTGACGTCAAGGTCTTCGAATGATGACGTCATATCATCCATGCTTGACCTGTCGGCTAAATTTCCTTCACTCCCTGAAAGCAATGCGTGACGTTGTTGTGTGACGTCATTTAATGACGTAAGTGTAGGATAAACTTGCTTCTGTGGCGCTCTGAGGTGAAAATCATTCATAGCGTAATTACTGAAGTTGTCTTGGTAACCGTATTGTTGCGAAAGAGATGACGTAGATGAGTATTGTGACGATGGAGAGGGTGGGCGTTCCAGATAATTGTGCTTACTGCGCCTCTTGTGGCGGGTTGTGGATTTTTTCGATCTCGCCTCCTCCATAGCGGCACCTTGAGATACCATTTTTAAAAACTTGGAATTTTTCAGGATTGCTTCAGTTTCAAAACCTGATTTGTAAGCTTGAGTTGTGAAACCGCGCTGTAATGTGCCTTCTTCGCTAGATGTCGTAGTTGAGTATCCACTTTCCTCCCCAAAATGAACGATTTTTGATTGTGACGTAACGATTGGTTGTGATTGATGCTTCATGACGTCATAACAAGTTGAAATTCAAATATAAGTTTTCTATTTTAACATTAAATCTGCAAGTATAAAATATTAGTCGTTAAATATTCCTTCCTAGATTTACGCAGCGTGTGCTTGTCTAGGGCGTTGTTCGGAGTAAATGTGAGATGAAACCAGTTACGTGGACGTAAATCAATTTAGTTTAACGAATTAACATCGGGTGTTAGTCGCATCTCCGGTCGGGTGAGAAGTTAACTCTTCGCCGCGAAGTTGTTAAACTTCTCCGGCGTGTCTGGGCAATATCATGATATTCCAAGGCTTAGCAAGCGTCGTGGTTCGGGCAACGATAAAAATGAAATAGGCAGGCATATTCGTGAGATTTCGTTGGATCCTCGTCCGACTTCTTCAGACAAAACAAGAAATAACAAAACGTGGAAAACCCGAAAAGTTACGGCCCCTTGTCCAGGTTGATGGCTTGATCATGTTACTGCTGACAAGTTAAGCTCAGTTTATGAAACTCAAAATATACAAAATCACCATCGATACTAATCAATATGATCAATAACCAGATTGTTCTAAAAAATTACATTAATTTTGCTAGAAACGAAGATCTGAAAATATCTCATAAAAAAAACTTTGACCTCCGCCACACAGGAGGACACAATCACCATACACCAATATTGAAAAAAAAAGAAATATTCACGATCACCACATTTCTACAAAACCCACAATCCGCATTATCGTGTCTGCAAGTAGGTAAGTAACTTCTCATACATAGCCTTGCTCAGAGTGAAGATGTGGACACGCCGGCACTCCAGAAGTATGTGTACCTACCTATATGGAGGCAACTAATTTTGTTCGCCTACTTTAGGTGAGTGAACACGTACCGCTTCTTCTTGGCAAAACCTTCCATCTTGTATACTTTCTGTACGTTTTAAACCTTATCTAAGGTTTTGTTTGCTCTCCTGATTTTATACTCAGTTTTTATTTATTTATTTTTTCCAATCATTTTATTTTTATGCTGATAATGAGGTCGAAATAAACTTATACTTATACTTTACATCAAGTTGTGTAAAGAGACTGGAACCTATGAACAGGGGGAATATTCCCTCCACCCTTATCCCTGTTACCACCCCCCCCCCCCCCCCCCACCCTCCTTGCACAACTGCCTGTATAAAGGACCATATTGTACATATTTGATTTACCCTATTATAATTCATATATATCAAAAGGGGTGTATGCCGCACATCTGTGTTTTAGGCCAATATGGTCTTGTGCATACATCCCGTCTTCAGTATTTATAATTACTTACTCTTTTATATTGCTTTTACGAGACGAATAAACATACATACATACAACACAGACAGTCCCCGAACTAGTAATAGAACTAAAATAGGAAAAATACGAATAAAATTATGGCTCAATCCTAACCTGATACACATACTACTAAACACGCCCAAATCTAACATAACAAACTTTCATACAAAATCCAGACTTCAATTGCAAAACTTTAATTCATTCAACCTCTTGCTCTATATCGAAACTACTTTAAACTCAAACCATCGCTTTTGGTAGAAAACACATAAAAACGTTTCACAATTTCGCTTCACACGGAACAGAAGATTTATTACAAGTCCCATTGTTAGGCTCAGCTCTTTGTCTGGGTTTGTTTACCGGCAATGATTAACCCTTTTGTTGCGAATTAGAAGGTTAAATTAACCCTCTCCTCGCAACTTGATAAAAAACAAAGGCTGTGATGATCACGCGTAACTGGTAAGAATTATATTGCAAAATATTGGAATGTCGTATTAAAGATCGAAATCGGTTAAAGAAAAAGTATATCTACCATGTGTATGGGCAACTGGTATGAAGCGAATAATACGATTTTCGTCAAAAGTTTTAAAAATCTACTGAAACAAACTTCGTAAGGGTAGGGAATAGTTGAATAATACCCACAGTATAAATATACATATAGGTATATCCACGAACGACATCTGGCAAAGGGGGGCGATCTACACGCAACTCTGGAATTTATTCAACAGCGTTTCGCTTTAACAACACACAATTTTTAGTTCTTTAAACGCCTCGTGACATCGTGAATTGCACTTTTAGCGCACTGTTTTAATTTCCCCCCCCCCACTTTCTCTGTTAAAAACCTGGCTGCGCCCCTGCCCGCGTCTACTATTATGTATTTAATTCATCCAAATCAAACGCCTCTCCATATTTGGTATATACCGAAAATAAGATATCGTTTATTCTTTACCAGTTGCGCATGTACTCGGTAGAATATACATCTACTCGTATACACTTAGAGCAGATATATTCAACTGTACAACTGTCGCCCGATTAGTTCAAATAAATTTTATTGTATGATAAATGAGGACTACAAGCACTTTTAATAAACAAAGACAAAATATTTTTTAATTGTTATGAATAATGAAATCGGGCGGAATTTTTCAAACACCATGCATATATATATATATATATATATATAGTGTATTTTGAAACCGTTTATCCCTAACTATGAATAAAGATAGGTTCAACGCACACACTGGCTTATTGTACAGTTCGAATACTTCCTAATGTGACCATGAATATGTATTTCAATAATACTAAATAGACAGCTATACAGTAAAACTGCACCAAATACAAATAAATATTTTCTGTAATTCCTCTCCGAAAACAACAAATTTCTCCCGGCTATGAAACGCCGTGATTTACGTTTAAGTTACGCGAATGCCCGCACATGCTATATGCACATGCTATATCCCCTCGCTGTAAGTAACCATGAATAAACCTTGTAGCGACATATCTATCTATCGGGCTACTTTCCAAGCCAGCTCACACCTGCCAGATCGCTATCTCAATTCTGCGTTAAATATCAGGCGAGTCCTGATTTATATTCATCGCTAAATATCGCCCGCAGCACCGCTCATCACGTAGACTTATTATTATATAAAAAAAACTTCGAGGTTCGACGAAATAAGGATATAGGATGATTGCAAGGTTGCCACAGTTTTGCTCTGAACAAGACTCTGGGTAATCAGCCTCTACTAATCTAAATCTTGCTTAAATAAGTCTATAGGAAAGCATGCATGGATTAACTATGACACATTTGCTGAGAAATAGGCTGTAAGACAAGCAGTTACTGACACAGGGAGATGCTACGAAAACAACTTTTCCCAGAAAAAGGCCTTCTCTTTCAAATAAGAATATAGGAAAGTATACATGATTTAACTATTACGTATTTGCTCAAATATGGCCCCAGACAAGCACAAAAATGTATGGAGTTACGATGATTATTCATTTGTTACGACCAAGGCTATAGATAAGACCACTGTCTCATGAAGAGCGAGTACACCATTGAAAGTTCGGAATTTTAGAAATTCTAGATTTCTGCGTTTAAACTTCCGCTCCATAAATGGCTTTAGACAAGCTGTCACTGATATACAATGAGCTAATAGAGCTACTATGTCCACATCCTTACTCTAAACAAGGCGCTAGACAAGCAAACATATTAGAATGTATAGGGTGTCCATAATGTCTTGAAATTTTTAAAAATTGCAAAGGGAATTTATTAATAACATATATTGTTTTGGCCGTCACTGATGTATTAAATGAAGTGAAAATACTTGAACAATTACTGATTAAAAAACAACAAACCTAATTAAGATATAATATTGAGAACTGACTACATAACAAAATTGCAACGAGACCTCATGGACACCCTGTATAATCTGTCGCTTCTACCTGTACGGCTCGGCAACTTTGCACTGAGCTCAAACTAACAGCAAACATTATTCCGTTCGTAGTTCCATTGTGAACAAATATTGAAATAAAATTTATAGAAAGCTTCAACAATGGTGACGAACAAAAGCAATATTTATTTTCGGCTAAATTTACGGAAAATAATTTTTACTTTTTTTTAATGTGAATTCGCTCAAAAGCCCTTTAACAGAAAAACAACTATATGTTGGTTTACAAAAGGCAGCTTCGAGCGTTTGAGAAAAAGTGGAAAGAGTGCTGGTATAAGTGCTGCGAGCCATTTACTAATAGGATAAAAGTGATTTTCCGCAAAACCTTGAATTTGTTTTTCACTTTATTTCAGAGTGGTTTTGCCAAAGAGCGCGACAAAGCGGGAAACTTGAGTGTGGGAATAAATGTCTACTCAACAGTTGCGGACTCTTTCTCACCATATCAAATGTGAACCCTCTTCCCAACAAATCAAATGTGAACCCCTGCCCACCCAATCAAATAGGAACCCCTGCCCATCCAATCCAATTTTCTAAGTGTAATGAATTGGGCTGTCAATGCAGAGCTGCAAAGATACCAATCCTTCCAAAAATAGCAGTTTTTTACCGATCCGTATCTGCTTTCCCTCAGCCTATTTCGGAGCGAAGGCGCGAAGCACTATATAATAATTGCGCACTAACAATGGTTGACATTTATTCACAAATATAAACTTTCATTCAGTTCTATTTTAAGAATTTCCACAAATATATACCGATGCTAATCCATCAAGTTTCAATGAATGGGAGTTGGCTTAGGTTAAACATGTGTCGGCTGAAGTGACCTATCATTCATTTAAGACAAGTTTGCTCTGCCAGCTCTGAAATTTGAAAGCGACCGTATATCGTACAGTAGAAAGTAAATTTGTCACATTTTAAGGCTATGATAAATTCGCACGTTCATAAGTGTCGCTGCTCGATACCCAGTATTGTTTATCGCGTCCCTTCCCTCCTGGAATGCAATTTTTTCCTCTTTTACCTCCTTTTGTATGTTGAAACGTGTATTTTTAACATGGTGAAGAATATACTACTGATTACTGTTTACAGGATTTTTGTGTGATTTTCAACCAAACGTTAAAACGTACATGAAGCACTTCTTACAATCAAAACTAAAACAGGTGGGCTACAGCTTTCAAACACAGACAAAAAAGATGGCCTCCGATCCATAAGTACAGAAATCTTTGTAAATGTACATGACACACTACCTTAAATTAAAACTAAGACAGGTACAGCTTTCAAACTCATACCCAAGATAAATCGGTATTTCATATTCGAAAAATCACCTCGGAATGTATTCGGAATGGTATTTAATCGGTTTTGGCCATCAATGAACAATATACAAGCAAAACTATTTACGTTCAATTCACGCATTTTTAACGTGTTATTTGAATCAAACATACATTCGCTCCATCATCTTTTATTTGTAGCTTATTGT